ACATTCCTGTCTATTCTTCGGACGAACTCAAAATAATGGGCATACCTCCACCCCTCGAAAGTTATCGCTGACTCAGCCATGTTTATGCAGCACTGCACGTGGAGATGTGGACGCGCAAGTCGCGCAGATTACGTACATATAAACCTGCGGCGGAAACCCCTCTTGTCTGTCCGTGTGATTATGACTGATTTTATAAAAGTAACGAAGTAACGCGTGTCGGGGCAATGTTAGTAACTGTAGTGTGATTACTGAATTATAAAAGTAACGCGTTACACTACTCCGTTACCGACAAAAGTAATATTATTACAGTAACGCGTTACTTTGTAACGCGTTACACCCAACTCTGTCCATAAGCATTAAAACTGCTTTTCCGTTTCCAGATGTCAAAGCTAGAGATAGGTTCACTCTGATGCTAAATTACATGCGCGAAGCCCCCACCTTTTCTCTTCACAACGTGTGTGTGTGGGGGACTCCCCCTTCAATTCTATTGGCTCTAACGGTCAGAAAGAGGTGTCAACCATCAAAATCGAGCAAGGGGGGCCAGAGATATGGAAAATCCACCCAAATGACCCCAGCTAAATCTCTCTAAAAAGGTCAAATGTCACTTGTTTTGCATCAATCTTGATACAGGGTACTTATTATATGTTGTACTTTGGATTCCTAAAGCTTTTAGTCTACTAACCCATCATCCAAGGGTAGTTTGCACTATAAGTAAAAAATAATTTTTGGACGGACACTATCATTTACAGTTTTTTACTATGTTCAATCTGAATTTTCTTTAAAATAAAAAACATCTATATTGATTCTGACTTTTCTACATCCAACTCACAGGTTTATCATTACTTTGAGAAAAGAGATTATTAATTTAACCCTTTTAGAAGGGAAGATATGGTCATTTGTTCTGGGAATGTCATTTTCGAGCCTGAGACCTGAAAAACAGGCTCAGGGCTTAACAGGTTAAGACATCACCTTGGAATTTGAGAAACTAGGATCAACTTTTTTCTGACATTTCAGTAAATTAAATTATTTATCCTTTAATTAAAAAAAATCGCCAGACCATGGGATAAAAATAAAGTGACTCGAAGCCGTACAACACTCAGTTGTCATCCAAATAGATCGCTTACATTTGTCAAGAGGGCTTATTATGTATTGGTGAACATGTTAACTAACTACTCTTAGATTTTGTTAAGATAAATACACCCTGCCTAATGTTTTCCCTGCCTTGCTGTCAAAGAAATATGCTCTGTTCACCATATTTGGGAAACTAAAGGATAAAAAAAACCTGCTTGTATTAACCTTCTGAGACTTGAAACCTACTTTTTTCTTATTGTTCCTTTACATTGATTTTCAGATTTGAAATAATTGTCAGAAAAAGCTTCCAGCAACACAACTCTCCACGCAAACTTTGAAACTTCCTACTGTCCTGTAAGCAGTATCTTTCAAATCGATAAATGATTTGTGACACACACAACTACAATCCTTCTGACCACATTAGTTTTCTCCCGCTGAGATCCAGTAGATATTAAGTGAGCTGTCTGGAGCAGAGAAGGTCAGACGGACATTAAGTGAAGGGTTAGTTTGGTTCACTGACTTTCAGCTCTCTCTGAAGTGAAGCAGAAAAACTGATTGTGGAACCGGACTCTTCTCTCCTCCGTCTCTTTCTATCAAGCCTCCATTTCCCTTTCCATCTCCATCTCCATCTCAGTCTCTCTCTTCTGCTCCAAATGTTCCCAAAGTCTGGTTGATGGCTTATTTCTTCTCTTACACTGACTCTTATAATGCCTCTTAGGTTATATACTTCCCTATCATTTTGATTTGCTCTTAATTGTTTTTCCACTACTCATGTGAGTTTTAACACCAGGAAGCAAAGTACCACATTCACCCTTTTCCTCAGCACCAACTAAAGAGGTGCATTTGTCTCGGTATAATTAGTTTGAACACTTAAAAAACATTTTCCACAAATGCAAAAAGAAAAAACTTAAAACCAAATGTTGCAAAATAAACAATAGATTTGCAGAGACACAAACAATTCAACAAATTCTGAGAAAATGTCAATACATCAATAGATTTACAAGTGATTATCTTTCTAACATTTCCAACTTTAAATCAGGCATTTGTAAATCCAGTTTTTATTTGTGAATCAAAAAAGGATCTCAATTCTATTTCTGTGGAAGGCTACAGATTATATATTTACAGAACAATAGTCCATCTGCTCACACAAATAATATTCAAACAAATTAATCTCCATTTCCAACATCTAAAATCCCTTCTCTGTGTTCTGAGTCTGCTCTGGGGTCAGTCGGGTCCTAAACGCCTTTTTTTGAAGATTGTATTCATCAAATAATTACTATTTTCTTACCATTTTATTGCTATTTTTCTTGATCCCTGTATCGCCCTCCTTGTCCTGCACCCCCTCCATCATGTCCCCTGTGTCTCTGCATCCACTTCTCACTCCTCCGTCACTCTGTATATCCGTCATCACCTCCTCACTGGTTGTTTCATGTCTCAGACTCGGCTCAGCTTCAGAACCACAACGATACCTCAGACAGTGTGGAGTTTACTTTCATTTACTTTACTCCCGTTTTATTTTAAGCTGTGTTTTTTACAGCTGACTTCCTCTGGTGTACCGCTGAACATTTGACAGAAACTACTGGAAACTAAGAGACTGACAGACCTGTTTACTGTCTACAGTATCTGCTTTAAAGTGGACCTATCATGCTATATTTGAATAATATAGTGTAGGACCATACCTATATAAGGCATATTTATACTTTTTTTTTTTCAAAATACCAAACAGATCATGCATTTTAGCCATGCCTCATTTCGCTCAATTTGACAATTTCTAGCTCTGTTTCTGCAAGGGCAGATTCTGTGAGCAACAGCACCATCTAGAGGCCTGGCATATGTACTACAGCGTCTCCAGCGCTTTCGAACGGCAATGGCCGTGGCTGTCTCCTCCTGATTGGTGGAGTTGGCCCAATAGCCGTAGCGCCACCGTCCTGACGTCAGGACAGTGTTCAAATCTGGATCAGTTTTTATCAGATCCGTTGCAGCCCCTTTTTTAGAGATTTGGGTATGGAGGAAAATAGAGAGGGTTGTGTTTTCTGACACTTGGTGAGTTCCCTGGAACACCGGGGACACATATTCATGTATAAAAGACGTACACAAGTGCATTTTGCATGATAGGTCCCCTTTAAGATGTGATGATCAATAGTGCAACCAATACTCTTTTGGCAAACTATTTTGGTGAATGATTCTTTTTTGAAGTAACTGTTCAAGCAAAAATGGCAGAAAATGCCATTTTCAGCCACTCAATATGGAGATTTGTTGCTCTTTACTGTTGGATATTATATTAAACCACACATTTCTTGGGTTTGCCCTGACACGACATCATAAACATAACAGAATTAAATAAACTAGGTTGGCCATTTCACCTTTTTCTGGCTTTGTTTTAGACTAAATAATCTTCAATGAAAGAAAAATGCTTCAATACACTAAATGCATCGACATCCAACCTTACCACTGTTAGCTGTTAACATGCTGGTCGTTAGCAAGTTAACATGTAGCATATTAGCACCATCAAACTTTTGATGAAAACCATTTCAGTCTGGTACAGTAGAGCTCCAAAAATATCTAAAATGTGTGTGACAGTAATTAGTTAAGGAGTGAAGTGGAGTACAGTGTTAGTAAATGCAACAACAGCATTTATCATTAATTACTCCGCTCTTCTGCAGAGAAAACAGTTCTTCTCAGATACAGTGAGTGAGTGTGTTCTGTGGATGTCAGAGAGTGTATTATATGAGCAGTGTGTGTCTCAGTAAGCGGCGGTTTCCTCCTCTGTCAGGCTCTCTGGTTTGACCCTGACGTTAATGGAGTGTGTCTTGAGGTCCTCCAGGGCAGCGAGGGATGATGAACATCCTCCACTGCAGTCTATCTGACACACACACACACACACACACACACACACACACACACACACACACACACACACACACACACACACACACACTTTCACCCCTGTAGTTTTGCCTTTATCTGTTGTTGTTGTTTGTCTGTCCTTTCCTTTTTTGTATGTAAGTTGGCATCACAAAGAATCCCTCGCCAAAAAGCAGTGGGATTTTTCCATTGGATTTTGAAATATTGAAAGTACGACATATCACACCTTTATGATACTTACACGTTTTGTTCAGCAGGATAATCTCCACATATTTACAGCACTTTATGATTTTTTTGCTAAATTAAAGGTGGCTAATGTTTGGCGTGATGACGTTAAGTCGTCTAATTTAGATAAAACCACTTACCTACGTATTTTATGTCGTAGAACAAAACATTAAAATCTCTTCAGCGTCTGTTAACCACATACTTTATTTCAAGCATCCATCAAACTACACATTGAGTATGAGACAAGCGACACTGGAAGAGCTAAAATGCTGACTCATTTCCAGGTTTTAGGACTCATTCCTGCACCACTCTATTGTCATTGTGAAGCTTCTGAAGCACATGTGACCCTCTCACGTCTCTGAGCAATCCTATTTGCTGAATCTCCCCCCACATGTGCCTCAGGGCTGAAGTGAAACATGACATTAAGATCAAGAGGAAGTGGTGTTTAGATTGGTAGGAAACTAGCTGGTAATGGAGCGGATCGGCCTTTAAATGACTGCATTGATGGAGTAAAGGCTGGAGAGTTATCCAGTGTTTACAAGCACAGAGGCAGGAAACACTACGGTCTGAAGTTTGGTTTAAATGTGTATTTGTCTTTCTATTTGTGTTTACTTCCTTGTAAGTAATCTGGGTTTAGCAGATGGAGGATTTTGTTGTCAGTGTTGCATTAGCAATATAATAATTCAATACTTTAACAGCTCAAACTGGTATGACAGATTGTGAGCAACCGTAGGATGTGCTGTGTGTCTAAACTGTTGAATGTACAAACATTACAATCTGTAAACCAATGAGTAAAATCTGTTATCTTTAAACAGCATCTCTCTCTTCTTGTTTTTCAGGGATTTGAGTGAAAATGCCATCCAGGCCATCCCAAGGAGAGCCTTCAGAGGAGCCACGGTCCTCAAAAACCTGTGAGTTAAAGTACACACACACACACACACACACACACACACACACACACACACACACACACACACACACACACACACACACACACACACACACATACCATGTATACATCACTTCAGGGGACATTACATTGACTTACATGCATTTCCTGGAGACTTACCCTAACCAAGTCTTCACCCTAAAATTAATGATTCCCCTTATGGGGACCTCCATTATGTCCCCATAAGGGAGGCGAGTCCCCACACGTGATTGTGTAAACAGATTTAGGTCCCCACAAGGATGGTGATGCTTGGCCACACATACCCCCCCCCCCCCCCCACACACACACACACACACACACACACACACACACACACACACACACACACACACACACACACACACACACACACACACACACACACACACACACACACACAAACACATAAAGCAGAGCCATTAGTACTTCCTCCACAAGGAGTGATTTCTTCTCCTCCCGCTGTGCTGATGGATTCTAAAAAGCCTGGTGTGCCTCGGAAACACACACACACACACACACACACACACACACACACACACACACACACACACACACACACACACACACACACACACACACACACACAATAAAAAAAGTGGAAAAATAAAAGGTGTTTCTAGCGTACACTATGTGATAAAGTCACAGCTCACGTTTGTAAGAAAACAGTTGAACAATGAACATTACAAATGTTTTTTCTACCTTCCAGTTTACTTGCTCCCTTGATTGATTATTATTGTTCTGGTTTTTGTGTTCTTTTCATCACCAGTCAGCTGGATAAAAACCACATCAGCTGCATCGAGGAGGGAGCGTTCAGAGCTCTGAGGTCTCTGGAAGTACTGTGAGTATCCTGGAAACCTTAAACCTCCACTACTTCAGATCGATTTGCACTTCTCTGGGGACAGACACTGTGTGTGTGTGTGTGTGTGTGTGTGTGTGTGTGTGTGTGTGTGTGTGTGTGTGTGTGTGTGTGTGTGTGTGTGTGTGTGTGTGTGTGTGTGTGTGTGTGTGTGTGTGTGTGTGTGTGTGTGTGTGTGTGTGTGTGTGTGTGTGTGTGTGTGTGTGTGTGTGTGTGTGTGTGTGCTAATAGACTCTCAATTGTGTGTTTTTACAATAAATGAATGCTTATTTTACACATTTTCTAGAATTGTCCCTCACTATCCTCTCCTCTTATCGTGTCTCACTCTTTCTCTCTCACTCTTCTCATCTCTTTCTCACTCTTCTCCCTCTCCTGACCTCTCTCTTTATTCCTCTTCCTCCTTTTCTCCCTCTCTCGCAGGACGCTGAACAACAACAACATCAGTTCTATTCCAGTCTCCAGTTTCAACCACATGCCGAAGCTCCGCACCTTGTGAGTCCTTCACCTCAATGCACTACGTTACCCACAATGCCACACTCCACAAACAGAAACACAATGATATTTGAACAGTGAGAGATACTTAACGATACTTGTTTCTTATTTGTCTTCACTTCTCTCCTTTTCCTTATTTCTTCCCCTCATTTTATTCATTTATTTCTTCTGTCTTCTTAAATGTTTGTTTATTTCCTCTCCGCTAAACTTCTTCACTACTTTCCACCTCTTTCCTCTCTATTGTCACTCTCCGTCCTCTCCGTCCCTCTCCTTTCCTACCTCTCCTCTCCTTCCTCTCCTTTCCTTCCTCTCCTTTCCTTCCTCTCCTTTCCTTCCTCTCCCTTTCTTCCTCTCCTCTCCATCCCTCTCCTTTCCTACCTCTCCTCTCCGTCCTCTCCTTTCCTTCCTCTCCTATCCTTCCTCTCCTCTCCGTCCTCTCCTTTCCTTCCTCTCCTATCCTTCCTCTCCTATCCTTCCTCTCCTTTCCTTCCTCTCCTTTCCTTCCTCTCCTTTCCTTCCTCTCCCTTTCTTCCTCTCCATCCCTCTCCTTTCCTACCTCTCCTCTCCGTCCTCTCCTTTCCTTCCTCTCCTATCCTTCCTCTCCTTTCCTACCTCTCCTTTCCTTCCTCTCCCTTTCTTCCTCTCCTCTCCGTCCTCTCCTTTCCTTCCTCTCCCTTCCTTCCTCTCCCTTTCTTCCTCTCCTCTCCGTCCTCTCCTTTCCTTCCTCTCCCTTCCTTCCTCTCCTCTCCGTCCTCTCCTTTCCTTCCTCTCCTCCTCCAGTCGTCTGCACTCTAACTCTCTCCGATGTGACTGTCACCTGGCCTGGTTGTCTCCTTGGCTGAGGCAGCGAGCGTCTTTAGGACTTTACACTCAGTGCAGCGCCCCCCCCACTCTGAGGGGCCTGAACCTGGCCGAGTTGAGAAAGAGCGACTTCGCCTGCTCAGGTACAGAACTACAGAGACACACTATGTAGTCCACCTCATGTTATACTGATTCAGAGGGGTACAAGGTGATTATAACATTATTTTTCGATGCTTCAAATGTTGGATTTGGAGTCACACTTTGTTTCTTTTGAATAAGATCTCTGTGCTTGTTTAGTTAAAAGATGAACTTAAGAAGACTGCAAGCTATTTAATTTGACTTTTCTAATGAGATTCCTTTGCTCAGTCGGCACAAAAAGTAGTGCATTATGTTGGATGTTAATCGAGAATCGGCTTTTAAACTTTCTGACGTTTGTTTGTTTGTTTGTAGCCTTTATTTAACCAGGTTAAAAAATCCCATTGAGATCAACGATCTCTTTTTCAAGGGAGACCTGCGGTACATTAGTTACACATAAAAACAACAGAAAACAAAAAGGACATCACAACATAATTACAGGGGTATACATTAGCAACCTATTTACAGTGACAGGTATCCAATATCATTTCATCCAGCCGTGCTTTAAAATGATGCAAGGGAATCAAAATGCTCAGTTTCAATGTTTTTTGCATGGTGTTCCAAGCCAGAGGAGCAGCGCACATAAAAGCTTTAGTACCTAAAACAGTTCTAGCACTTGGCACATGTAATAAGAACACATCCTGGGATCTCAGGCAATAGCTACTTGCCACTCTCCGTGAGATCAAAGAGCATATATAAGTCGGTAGTTTACCCAGCATGGCTTTATATATGAATATGTACCAATGACTGAGCCTCCGACCAGTAAGTGAAGGCAGACCTGCCTTGGCATACAGGGTACAGTGATGAGTAAGTACTTTACAGTTAGTAACAAATCTCAGAGCACTGTGATAGGCGGCATCTAACCTTTCCAGGCAATGGGCAGGTGCATTCATATACAATAAATCACCATAGTCTAGCACAGGTAAAAAGGTCACAGTGACTAGCCTTTTCCTGGCTTCAAAAGAGAAACAGGACTTGATTCTAAAAAAGAAACCTAGTCTAACCCTCAGCTTTTTAAGCAGATTAGTGACCTGAAGTTTAAAAGTAAGACAATCATCAAGCCAGATACCAAGGTATTTATAATAGCTAACCACTTGGAGTACTTGTCCTTGCATAGTCACAATATCCAAAGCAGTCTCTGGAGTCTTTTTAGCTTTAGAAAAGAGCATTACCTTGGTTTTATCAACATTTAAAAGAAGCCTAAGCTCAGCGAGCTGAGTCTGAATAATGTTAAAAACAGCCTGTAATTTAACAACCGCCTCCTTAATGGAGGGACCTGCACAGTACATCACGGTATCGTCCGCATAAAAATGTAAAGTAGCTTCATCCACATTTTCACCTAAACTATTGATGTAGATGGAGAATAAAAGTGGACCTAAAACAGAACCTTGTGGTACACCATTAGTAATGTTTAACTACTCAGAAGACAGCCCATCAAAGTGAACACATTGGGATCTTTCAGAGAGGTAGTTCACAAACCACCCCACTGCATGGCTGGATAAGCCAATACTGAGTAGCCTCTGCTTTAAGATGCGATGATCGACGGTATCAAACGCTTTGGAAAGGTCAATAAATAGAGCTGCACAGCTCTGCTTATTATCTAAAATACTTGTAATGTCATTCACCACTTTCATTGTGGCAGTGTATCAAGTATACACTGTATCAAGTACGTCTTACAAGAAAGACCTGCGATTGATCTCATAGATGTGTTCCCACCTAGACGCAACACACTCAGGTCTTAGTGTGTACGATGGCGTTAAAGTTGTAAATGTGAGTTTTGTTTTGTAGGAAATGGCGGCAGTGCGTTCGTGCAGCCGTGCAGCCTGGCGTCGGGCTCGTGTCCTCCGATGTGTTCCTGCAGCAACAACATCGTGGACTGTCGAGGGCGGGGCCTCACCGCCATCCCAGCTCACCTTCCTGAGGCCATGACCGAGATGTGAGTTCTTAATATTTCACGTTATTTCTGTTTAATCTGTTCACCAGTCATTTTTGGATTTCTGTCAATCCTTGAATAGAAATTCCACCTCCCCCCTTAAAGGGGACCTATCATGCAAAATGCACTTTTGTACGTCTTTTATACATGAATATGTGTCCCCGGTGTTCCAGGGAACTCACCAAGTGTCAGAAAACACAACCCTCTCTATTTTCCTCCATACCCAAATCTCTAAAAAAGGGGCTGCAACGGATCTGATAAAAACTGATCCAGATTTGAACACTGTCCTGACGTCAGGACGGTGGCGCTACGGCTATTGGGCCAACTCCACCAATCAGGAGGAGACAGCCACGGCCATTGCCGTTCGAAAGCGCTGGAGACGATGTAGTACATATGCCAGGCCAGTAGATGGTGCTGTTCTCACTGAATCAGCCCTTGCTAAATCAGAGCTAGAAATTGTCAAATTGAGCTAAATGAGGCATGGCTAAAATGCATGATCTGTTTGGTATTTTGAAAAAAAAAAAGTATAAATATGCCTTATATAGGTATGGTCCTACACTATATTATTATAATATAGCATGATAGGTCCACTTTAAACTTTTATACACCGCATTTCATTTATATTTAGCATTTTTAGTTCCACTTAATAATAATCATGCCGTAATACTTGACAGGAAGGCTTCGAATAAATGTCTGTCTCTCTGTTTCTAGACGTTTGGAGCAGAATGGCATCAAGTCGGTTCCTCCGGGCGCCTTCACCTCCTACAAGAAGCTTCGTCGGATGTGAGTCCTCTAAAGACATCCTTGTACTAATACATATATACTGTAACAGTTGATGTTCAAGACACATTTTGGACGAATATCAATGATTTCCCCACTTTTGTTCTTCAAATATAAGATACTGACCATAGACTGTATATACTGTAAGAAGTGATAATGAAGCCACTTTGACCTCACACTTTGTTTTGTAATAATAATAATAATAATAAATTATATTTATATAGCGCCTTTCAAGGGACTCAAGGTCGCTGTACATGGTGGACAAACAAACAGACAATCAAAGGGCAAACAAAAAATAAAGGAAGCCGGGGGACCAAGAAAGGGCTCGGGCCCGAAGGCCAGAGTGAACAGGTGTGTTTTTAATGATGGTTTGAAGATGTCCAGGGAGGCAGCATTACGGATCTCGGCAGGAAGTGCATTCCAGAGGGTGGGGGGCCGCAACACTGAACGCCCTGTCACCAACCGTTCGGAGGCGAGAGCGGGGGATGGAGAGCAGGCCCGTGTCTGAGGACCGCAGACTCCGAGAAGGGGTGTAGGGATGGAGGAGGTCCGATAAGTACTGGGGGGCGAGGGTATGGAGGGACTTGTACGTGAGGAGGAGTGTTTTGTACTGAATCCGGGACTTGACCGGCAGCCAGTGGAGGTGGATGAGGGTGGGGGTGATGTGTTGCCATGGCTTGGTGCGGGTGAGAAGCCTGGCGGCAGAGTTCTGGACGTATTGGAGCCTGTCCAGGGTTTTGCTGGGAACCCCGGACAGGACTCCATTGCAGTAGTCCAGACGGGATGTGATGAAGGCGTGTACGAGTGTTTCTTCCACAGAGTCAGAGAGTGAGGGCCGGAGTCTGGCAATGTTTTTGAGATGGTAGAAGGCGGATTTGGTAACAGATTTGATGTGCGCCTGGAAAGAGAGGGTGGAGTCCAGGATGACTCCCAGGTTGCGGACTTCAGTGGACGGGGAGATGGAGCAGCCGTCAATGGAGAGAAGCAGGTCTCCAACCTTCTGGAGCATGACATTTGGATTTTTAGCTGTTTATGTGAGAAAGATTTCAGATCCACTTCAAAAATACTGTGAATTCTCTCTAATTAAGATTTCAATTTGAAAATAAATATATTTATTTAACGCCAGAGTTCAAACTAGATTGTTTTAATATTGAGCTTTTTTGAAAGTTAACCATCAGCTGTAACTTCCTTCAGCTTCTATGATTTATAGTATAATTCTGATTATTATCACACCAAGTGATTAAATAGACATTTTTCTTTGTATGAGGTTTTTTAGACTTGCTCCATACAGCCAGAGAAACTGTGTTTTTTTAAGGCTTTACCCTTTAAAATGTATCTCAACCTAATCCTCTGGGAAAACGTCAGTGTTTTAGGCTCTGCTCTGCCAACTGGATCTCTCCTTCCTCTGCTGTGGCTTTCCTGCTCGACATAACAAACATCCCCAGTGGATTTTCAGCTTGAAGGAGCGCTTGATTGATGTCAGCCTGCAAAGAAATGCAGTCCCAATCCAAGGACTTTTAATGGTCTTGCATGACGAATCACACACATATCACTGTGATCTAGTGTCTAAAATGCACATTTGACCCCAATAACAATGTTCTTTTTAGTCTCCTTTTATTATTTCCTTTCTTTATGGCTCATATAATTCCTTTGCCAGTTTCTATTCTAAGACATTTTCTCCGTCTGCATGTTCTGTGGTTGCCCTTTCCCTCTCAATCTTATCCTTCACTTCCCCTTCGTCCTCTTACATCATCACTATGAGACCGTCCCAAGGCTTTAGAGGCGGTTTGATTACATTACCAGGCGTCTTTAAGTGGTTTCTCTTCAAATTTATTATGACAGTGGAGCGACTGACATGTGGCAGCAGAACAAGGATTTTATTATCTGACATGTTGTGGTCGGCCAGAACAAGTCAGAGTAAAAACTTAAAGTTGGCCGGCTGAACCAAAATGACTGCCTTTGGGTCGGGTTTCTCATCTCCATAAATGTTTTTTTATTTGATTTGATTAAAGGATTAGACAAAATGAACAATAAAACCATTCGTGTGTGTTCTGATCCAAGAGAATAACACATGAAACTGTTCATCTATAAAAGAGAATACTGCATTACACGCTCTCTAATCTCCTTCATCCTTCAATCTTTATTATAGTACACTTTGTTTCATTATGGCTTTTTTGCCAAAATACAGTTCAAACTTATTTAAACAACGATTTAAAACAGACAGATTCAAGTTAATCAGTGGAGTTAGGAAGGAATGAGTCTCAAAATCCAGACATTTGTTAGCATTTTACCACTTCCTGTCGCCTTATCTCGAATTCTTTGCATGTGTTTTTGGTTTTTAGCATGACATAAGGTCTGTTGTTAAACTGAAGATATTTTGTACTTCTACTTAAAATACGTCAGTAAATACTCCAATGGTGAATTTGAAAAAAGCGGTTGCTAACAAGTGTCTGAATCAGACGACTAAATGTCATCAGGCCTAACATTAGCCACCTTTAGCTTAGCGGTGGTGATGTGAAGTCATGTGACCGTGCTGTAGTTCCTTTATAGCCCAACATTAGCCACCTTTAGCTTAGCGGTGGTGATGTGAAGTCATGTGACCGTGCTGTAGTTCCTTTATAGCCCAACATTAGCCACCTTTAGCTTAGCGGTGGTGACGTGAAGTCATGTGACCATGCTGTAGTTCCTTTATAGCCCAACATTAGCCACCTTTAGCTTAGCGGTGGTGACGTGAAGTCATGTGACCGTGCTGTAGTTCCTTTATAGCCCAACATTAGCCGCCTTTAGCTTAGAGGTGGTGACGTGAAGTCATGTGACCGTGCTGTAGTTCCTTTATAGAGTGGCGAAGTCACGCCCACCTACTTCCGGGTAATGGGACCTTATTTCGGAAAAATTATGCATTGAAGTCAATGGGGAGAGAAAACTTATCTTTCGATCCCGTTTGAATTGTGCCATGAATTACACATATGATGTTTGTCAAACTTAAAAAATAATTTCCATGTAAAAAAAGTCACAGTTTGTCGTAAAACTGTTGAAATATACGTAACTAGAAAGACTACAAATCCCAGAGTCGCGTAAGTGATGTCACAATTGTTTTCCTCCACCATTCAGATACCTAAGATCAGCGCAATATAGATATAATCTATCTATATGGCGCTGGCTAAGATAAGATAACTTTAACAAGATGCCTGTGTGCTTAGTACCAGGTTGTTGTTATTATACCAGCAATGGGTCTTGCTCGTTCTTTTGCTTCCCGTCTGATGAAAGGATCAGGAGTGGCTTGATCAAGTTAGCTACCTAGCTAGTAGCTAGCACGTTAGTTAGCATTACAGCCTTGTCATTTTTATTAGCCTTAACATGAAGTAACATTAAGTAACCCAAAATGTTAAACAGTAAGAGTAGTAGTCATATTTCGTGAACCCTTTGAATAGTACTGTCACCGGTGTGATCATTCTATAATACACCATTTAAGCCCGGGGGAGAAATGCTAACGCTAACGTTAGCATCGGCGATCTTCTCTACTTCATGCTATCTGCACAAATGGTTGACATTAAACATTAAAACGACCAGGCAGTTCAGAGAGAATCAAAGGAAGGCAGGCAGGCAGCTTTGCATGAAATTCTTCAGGACGTGTTTCATTGTGGTGATAGTGAGGGTAGTCAATCGTGTTGTTGACAAGACAGTAGTGACGGCCATCTTGGTGACGTGTGTTGTTGACCAGAGATGTAGTTCATTGAGCGTTTCACACAAACAAATGTGTTACTTCACAATTTTACGACACATTTCTTTTTTTTTTACTTGCAAAATTATCTTTTAAATTGACAAACATCATATGTGTAATTCGTGGCACAATTCAAACGGGATTGAAAGATAATCTTTCTCTCTCCATTGACTTCAATGCATAACTTTTCCGAAATAAGGTCCCATGGGGCTCAACCGGAAGGGGAGGGACTTCGCCACTTTATAGCCCAACATTAGCCACCTTTAGCTTAGCATGGTGACGTGAAGTCATGTGACCATGCTGTAGTTCCTTTATAGCCCAACATTAGCCACCTTTAGCTTAGCATGGTGACGTGAAGTCATGTGACCGTGCTGTAGTTCCTTTATAGCCCAACATTAGCCACCTTTAGCTTAGCATGGTGACGTGAAGTCATGTGACCGTGCTGTAGTTCCTTTATAGCCCAACATTAGCCACCTTTAGCTTAGCGGTGGTGACGTGACGTCATGTGACCGTGCTGTAGTTCCTTTATAACCCAACATTAGCCACCTTTAGCTTAGCGGTGGTGACGTGAAGTCATGTGACCGTGCTGTAGTTCCTTTATAGCCCAACATTAGCCACCTTTAGCTTAGCGGTGGTGACGTGAAGTCATGTGACCGTGCTGTAGTTCCTTTATAGCCTAAAGTAAGCTTTTTACTTCAGAAATCATAAAGTGGTGTTTATATGTGGAGATTATCCTACTGAACAAAACGTGTAATATCACCATAACATTCTGTCTAAGGAGCCTTTGCAATGCTAACCTGGTTTCACCTACTAAATGAACTCTAATGAATACAAATATGAAACAATTGTTTGTGTGTATTTATGTATTATTTGTCTCTTTCCCAGAGACCTGAGTAACAACCAGATATCTGAGATTGCTCCTGATGCTTTCCACGGCCTCCGAGCTCTCAACTCCCTGTAAGTAACACACAGAGTCTCAGCGTGTGTGTGTATGTGTGTGTGTGTTTGTGTGTGTGTGTGTGTGTGTGTGTGTGTCTGTCTGTTGGAGTGTTATCAGAGTGCCTGTACCAATATGTGTTTACATATGTCTGCGGTAAGCCTGTCTATACCTCCATATGTTTGCACCGCATGCGTGTGTTCCTCATCTGCTGCTATGAATAATTCAAGTGGCGCCTCCTCTCTGTAAACAAAATTATTTATGAAATATCAGAACTTACACACAATCACAGCGGGTGGCCTGCGGGTATGTGTGTATTCATGTAGTGTGTGTGTGTGTGTGTGTGTGTTCACTTATGCCTCGACTGTATGTATTTGTTATTCTTGTGTGCAGCCACGTGAATGTTTTACCAATGGAATAAATGTGTTATCTATTTTTATAACGATGTGAATTGACAATAAAAGATCCTAGTAGCACACTTATTGAATTAATTTGAATACAGGATATTTCATAAACTCTCTCTGTGTGCAGGGTGCTGTATGGTAATAAGATCACGGAGCTTCCCAGCGGAGTGTTTGATGGCCTTTCCTCTGTGGAGCTGCTGTAAGTCTCAAACTACAACGTGCATATATATTTGTTTGAGCTGACGTTTTCACTGAGTGAGTTTTAATGCAAATACATTTCAGGTGTCAAATATACTAAAAGAGCCCATCATTTGTTGGAGTGTTGGATGGAAACTAGTAGGTGTTTCTGTTCAGATTCTGCCAGTGAATCTTTTTCCATTACCATGCTGTGATGTTCATTTGTGATAACACTGCAATGAACAACATACGGTATTCCACATGCTGAAGCTTCAGTCGTAAAAGGTGTATGGCTGTAATAATAATAGATTACATTTATAGCACCTTTCAAGGGACCCAAGGCTGCTTTACATGCTGTGAACAAACAAATAAACAAGTAGGGCAAATAATAAAGTACAAATTAAATAAATAGCAGGGGGACTGTGATGGGTTAGGGGTCAAAGGCCATGGTGAACAGGTGAGTTTTTAATGATGGTGTTCAAACTACACCAAGCAATTCTAAGTGGACTTCAACCGATCTGTAACACTGAGTTTCTCCCGCAAGCTGACATTCAAAATAAACAGTTTTAAATATTGTGTTTACCAGACATGTAATTAATTACTAAAAGGATTATCTATATATATTTATTATACAGACAAATGATGGAGTTTAATATCCAGAGATGGCAAAAGTACACACATCCTTTACTCAAGTAGAAGTACAGATCATCAAACATTCAACTGCTACTCAGTAGTATGTATCTAATACCTAATATATATATATCATTCCAATAACTTGTATATAGACTCATACTGCACTATTCCACATCATAACTTTATTTCATTTTTATAACTATTATTATTTTTGTATTGCTCTTGCTCTTATTGTTATTATGTTATGTTATTATGTTGCATTGTTGGAGAAGCCTGTGACATAAGATTTTCAACTGCATAATTACTCTGTAGCTATGTCAGATTGACAATAAAGAACCTTGAACCTTGAACCTTGAGATACTCGTGTTTAAAAATACTCTGGTAAAAGTAGAAGTACTGACTAAACTTCGTTACTCAAGTAAAAGTAAAGAGCTTTGAAATGTACTTCAGTAAAAAGTACCCATAACTAGCAGCTGTTTTAAAGAGTACCTGACCTCCCTTTATATTAATAGAACAATAATGTCATTGTTAGCTAATGAATGTTTCCATGCTGAACAACGGCAACATGACAACGTTTTCATTGGTCCCTCTTCTTTAGAGAAGACCAGGAAATGATGGATACACGGATCGTGTTCAAATCAATAGGCACGCAATGACTCTAAATAATAATAATCACGCCACCAAACACACATTCAAACTAAAGTAACCAGCCTGTTTGGAAAATGTGAGAAGTAGAAAGTACAGGTATTTGTGTTCAACATGTAAGAAGTAGAAAGTACAGGTATTTGAGTTCAACATGTAAGAAGTAGAAAGTACAGGTATTTGTGTTCAACATGTAAGAAGTAGAAAGTACAGGTATTTGTGTTCAAAATGTAAGAAGTAGAAAGTACAGGTATTTGTGTTCAACATGTAAGAAGTAGAAAGTACAGGTATTTGTGTTCAACATGTAAGAAGTAGAAAGTACAGGTATTTGTGTTCAACATGTAAGAAGTAGAAAGTACAGGTATTTGTGTTCAACATGTAAGAAGTAGAAAGTTCAGGTATTTGAGTTCAACATGTAAGAAGTAGAAAGTACAGGTATTTGTGTTCAACATGTAAGAAGTAGAAAGTTCAGGTATTTGTGTTCAAAATGTAAGAAGTCAAAGTAAACAGTCGTCAGAAAAATAAGTAGTGGAGTAAAGTACTGATACCAGAAACATGAACTTACAGTAAGTACAGTAACAAAGTATTTGTACTCCACTGCTTCCCACCTCTGTTAATATCCTGATGTTCCCTTGTGTTACTCAGGCTGCTGAATGCCAATAAGATCCACTGCATCAGAGCGTCCGTGTTCAAAGATCTGGAGAATCTGGCTCTGCTGTCGCTTTATGACAACAAGATCCAGAGTCTGGCTAAAGGAACCTTCAGCTCCCTGCACAGCATCCAGACACTGTGAGAACACACACACACACACACACACACACACACACACACACACACACACACACACACACACACACACACACACACACACACACACACACACACACACACATACATACTCTCACATATGCACACTCACACACACACTCAGACTCACACTCACACACACACACACTCACACACACACACACACACACACACACACACACACACACACACACACACACACACTCACACTCACACTCACACTCACATAAACTATTTTAAGTTCTGTTCCACACCATTCAGCCTGATCTGACTGATGTCCTGCCCCTTGTGATTTCCCATCAGCCACCTGGCCCAGAACCCCTTCGTGTGTGACTGTAATGTGAAGTGGCTCGCCGACTTCCTGCGCTCCAACCCCATCGAGACGAGCGGAGCACGCTGCGCAAGCCCCCGCCGCCTCGCCAACAAACGCATCGCCCAGATCAAGAGCAGCAAGTTCCGCTGCTCCGGTCAGTGTGTGTGTGTGTGTGTGTGTGTGTGTGTGTGTGTGTGTGTGTGTGTGTGTGTGTGTGTGTGTGTGTGGTGTGTGTGTGTGTGTGTGTGTGTGTGTGTGTGTGTGTGTGTGTGTGTGTGTGTGTGTGTGTTTCAGTGTGGTTGTAGCTTCTCAAAAGTGATAATTTTGTGCTTTTTTTGAGTAATCTTTAGAGCCATAATCATTATGACAATAAACAAAGTTAGCAGATAATCATGGAGAAGTCGCAGAGCAAAGTATTCAGAGGCACATTTTGAAAGCCTCTTTTACCTAAACATTTTTTTAATATATTGTTTTATTTATCTTTTTAATTGGTAAATGATAGTGATTCAATTGTTATTGAAGCTTAAAGGGGACCTATCATGCAAAATGCACTTTCTGATGTCTTTTATACATAAACATGTGTCCCCGGTGTGTCGGGGAACTCACGCAGCGTCAGAAAATAAAACCCTCTCTCTTTTCCTCTGTACCCAAATCTCTAAAAACGGGGCTACAACGGAGCTGATCCAGATTTGCGTCCGATATGACGTAATATCTGAAATGTGGACCCACGGCCCTATCAGAAACTTTGCTATCAGAAACAATGCCCGACTGTTTTGGACGTAATATGGTCGGTGTTTACATTAGCATCGCTAACACTCAGAGCTAACCTGTACTGGAGAGCATGTGTGTGAAGAAGCAGGAAATAAAAAGGAACTCACCTTGTGGTATAACCGGCAAGAGAGAAAGCCTTTGAGCTCCATACTGTTTCAGAAAGAATCCTTGATAATCCATGATATGGGGTTTCATCACGGCAGTATTTAGTTTAGACAGTAGCTGCCGGGTCCCGCATGAGCTCAGCCCCCTCCTTTTTTCTTTTTTAAAGCTTTATACCCCAAATCAGCACTTTTGAAACAGGAAGTGAAATAGAGGGATATGAGGCATGGCTAGAATGGGTGATCTGTTTGGTATTTTGAGCAAAACACTTCATAGACATGTTTTTTATATATTGTTATATATCTGAGACCTATGCTATTGCCTAAAAATAGCATGATAGCTGACCTTTAAGGTTAACAAATAACTGTTTACCTAATAAAGTACTGTTTTCGATTATAAAATGTGCTTTTTACGACATATCTTCATGGATTCTTCTGGATTCTTTGTGCGTGTTGAAACTTTTGATTAACTTTTGGTTTTGTTTCTCTTTCTTTTTCTTGACAGCCAAGGAGCAGTACCACATCCCAGGTGATTATTGTTGTCTCTGTGTGTTTATTAAACTGTCAAGCCTTCACTGTAAATGCCTGATTACATTTGAAAGTACAAATAATTTGAGCTCCTACAGCCTGACAGGATGTAATAACAATAATGTTCACCGTGGCGGCACCAGAACGTGACTTTGAAATCTGTCGTCTCGCTGTTTCTGTTTCATCTCAGAAATCCTTCAGCTCAATATCTGCTGGATTTACGGCAACATTAAAGTCTTTTAACTCCAGAGTGAAGGACATGGACTCCTGTAACATGTCTCATGCACTCAACAGAGATTTGTTATCATAGTTATCTACTTTGGCCTGTTAGATTAAGCTGATTTAAAAAACATGAGTTTCTTTAGTTTCAGTGAGTAGCAGAAGTATCGTCAAAAATAAATATTTGATCCAAATGCAAACCAGATGTTACGAGCTGATTGAACTGGTTCACAAATGTAAATTGAAGCATTTTTTAAAACTTGTAAATCACTTTATAAACGAATCCCTGCAGATTCAAGTTTAGGAAAAAGTTCATGTTTCCAGAACAGCTTCCAGTCTTTCCAGTTAAAACAAATCTGAAGCCAGGAGGAGAATCAGTCATCATCTGAAACGGAATACTTTATTCATCCCGGGAGGAATGGTGTTTCGTGACTGTTGCTCCTAAAAATAAATACAAGTTAAAAAAATAATAAGTAAGAATGTACAAAAATAATAAATACAAATATTGAAAATACACATAAGTAGTGAAAGTCAAATGTGCAATAAAAAATACAGAAACAGAATACAAATATTAAAGTTTAATTAAAATTGTGCAATAAAAATATACAAAATAAAACACAATTATTTCAAAAAACATTAGAGTAGAATTAAATTGTCCAATTATAGATAAATATAATACAAACTAATACAATATTTATAAAACATAATTATTCACGTGTCATAAGGTTCATATTAACATTTAATTTAAGGAAATAATTGTCAATTATTTAAAGACTACTTAAATTGAGCAGTCTACATGGCCTCACTGTGTTTTTCCGTGTGTGTGTGTGTGTGTGTGTGTGTGTGTGTGTGTGCGTGTGCGTGTGTGTGCAGGTACTGAGGACAGGCATCTCAGCTATGAGTGTAACAGTAAGCCGGTGTGTCCCGCTAAGTGTCGCTGTGAGGCCAACGTGGTCGACTGCTCCAACCTTCGCCTCACCAAGTTCCCCGAACACCTGCCCTCCTCCACCGAAGAGCTGTGAGACACACACACACACACACACACACACACACACACACACACACACACACACACACACACACACACACACAGTCAGATTAAATAATAATGATAGTCAAAAAACCTATAAAGCAAACTGTGTTTTTGCTACAGAATTATCAATTCAGAGTTTTAATGAAAAAATGTCTGAGGCAAGAAATGTTAAAGTTAAACAAGAAACTTTATTATGAGAGATGAGGGTAAACTGTACATTTTGATAATTGAGCATCACTGGATATTGATTTATTAACAAATAACTACGATAATCATCATATAAACTAAATATGTTTAACTTTTGATGGTAACATATGCATTACAAATTCAGTTAATTGCTTGTTTTTTCAGACAAAAAGTCCAAAATATTCAATTATTATATGATTTGAACAAAGGGAATTGGTAAAATGTCATCTTTGAGAAGTTGAAACAAGTTACATTTTGATAAATTACTTCATGAATGACTTAAATAATAAAGCAACTATCAAGGTCTTCCATCCAGCGCTATTTCTATTAGTTGGTAAAGTGCTTCACAAATGCCTCCATCCTTTGGAGACCTTCCTAAATTGCTTGTTTTTCTTATATCAACTGTCCAAAGCAGAACAATTCACAATGATTTAAAACAAATAAAAGCTGAAAATCATCAGAAGTTGAAGCCAGTAGATGTTTGACGGATTTGCTCGATAATTGACTAAAACAATAAAGCAATTAATTCTGCTCTTTTCCTATGATGTTCAATACAAGCCCCTGATATCTGTAGGTGTGTCAGTCTGGCTCCAGGATGCCCAGTGTGCTTTATTCTATTTGTAGGATGCTTTTATTCAAAGTGCATGGCCAGTCCCTGTGGGGTCCGCTGTGTTAAAGCCATACTCTGCAAGACACACTCCTATGTATGTACACACGGACTGTAGATACACACACACACATGTAGGCACTTTATGGATATCCATGTTGACATGTGTGTATGGACTCATGCTGCATGGATGCACACTCAGTGGACAAACACACACACACACACACACACACACACACACACACACACACACACACACACACACACACACACACACACACACAGACACACACACACACACACCAAACAGACTCTCCTGCTAATGATGTTTTCTCTGTGTGTTTCAGGCGTCTAAACAACAACGACCTCTCGGTGCTCGAGGCCACCCGAGCCTTCAAGGGTCTGTCGCAGCTCAAGAAAATGTAGGTCACTCCGAAAAACTTTAACAATGACAAAAACCCGTTTAATCATCAAAAGAAAGTCTCTGGAGATCTCATTGTCCGTCCAGAACAATGACCTCAAAGGGATGGTTCGGATGTTTTGACGTGTGGTTTAATGAGGGACTCCTCAATAGTCAGTGTGTTACTAGAAACAGAGAGAAGAACCTAATGTACTGATGGGATGAGGTCACCAGCAACACTGTTTTTTATTCAATTTTGACAAGGAACATGCATAAATCTACATTATTGTCAAAAAAAGAAGGGTTATTTTATGCCACATTAAGCTATAACGGTACGTCCACACGGCTCCGTCGCGTGCTTCAACGGAGACGCTTCCCATTCACTTTGCATGGGGTGACGTCACGCTTTGCCGAACTGCATTGTGGTTCCGTCAACTCAAATATTACTAACGATTATAGAGAAATGTAGAAAGCATTAAGTCTTCCTCTCTTCTTGCAGTAACCTGAGCAACAACAAGATCTCAGAGATCGAGGACGGAGCGTTCGACGGCGCCTCGTCGGTGGTGGAGCTCCACCTGACGGCCAATCACCTGGAGTCAGTGAGAGGGAGCATGTTCAGAGGCATGGAGGGACTGCGCATGCTGTGAGTAACTTCCTCCTCTTCCTGTGTGCTCATCACCAGAGAGAGAGGTGTACATCAGACCCTAAAGAGCTTACACAGGAGTAATGGAAGAAACAGGGTGAGAGAGAGAGGGAGGGGTTTAATGGGATATTTCGGTTTGATTGATTTCATTCATGATGAGATGTAGGATGTTTTGATATGTCAACTGCACTGCTTTAATATCTTGTTTCAGAGTGTGCCCCACATTCTCAATACCTTGTGAAAACTGCTTGATACAGTTATTAATGTTTTATGTTTTAAAGGTTAACTTAAAATATATAAACAGCTGTAACATGGACACAATGTTATACGATTCATATACTACTGCACAACAACAGAAGTAATCACTTCTAAGTTTGTATTTAAACAGTGAAGTATTTTAAGGTGTCATGTACTTAAATCTGTAAGTGTGTGTGTGTGTATGTGTGTGTGTGTGTGTGTGTGTGTGTGTGTGTGTGTGTGTGTGTGTGTGTGTGTGCGTGTGTGTGTGTGTGTGTGTGTGTGTGTGTGAGTGTGTGTGTGTGTGTGTGTGTGTGTGTGTGTGTGTGCGTGTGTGTGTGTGTGTGTGTGTGTGTGTGTGTGTGTGTGTGTGTGTGTGTGTGTGTGTGTGTGTGTGTGTGTGTGCGTGTGTGTGCGTGCGTGTGTGTGTGTGTGTGTGTGTGTGTGTGTGTAGGATGCTGAGGAACAACAAGATCAGCTGTATCCATAACGGCAGCTTCACCGGTCTGGGTAACGTCCGTCTGCTCTCGCTCTACGACAACCAGCTGAGCACCATCCTGCCCGGAGCCTTCGACACGCTGCCCAACCTGTCCACTCTGTGAGAGACACACACACACACACACACACACACACATCTCTGTTGTTTCTTTGGCTGCGGTCAAATAGTAAGAAAATATCTTAAGGAAAGTGAAAGGACATGGTTCCTCACCCTCTTGTCCACTTGTTTTAAACAACATGAATCCCAACTAGTATGATTGTTAGAACGTTTTTGAATAAATAAAACTTCATGTAACATATGCATCACTTGTCGGGCCTACACATTGATCAGTGTGCATATCACCAGTCAATCATGTTGAAAAAAAGTTGTGTAAACCCCACGAAAGTTAGTTAACACCACAAAACGTTAAAGTTCAAAGATCTCCATTTGTTTAACACCTTGTTGAAAGTTCAGAACATTTAAGCACTTTGGTAAGTTATAGCATAAGATGTCAAATAACCATAACTTACATGATCTGTGTTTCTTGGTCTCTATCGGTTGTCTCTCTGTCACTTTAAAACTTTACGGACGCAAGTAATTGTGGTCCAGCAGTATCTCCTTTCCTTGTGTAAAGGATGGTCCGGTGTATTCTGAATGAATTAAACAAGGAAGCATTGAATCAATCTCCTTTCATGTTATCCATCCAAACAGCTCTTATCATGAAAGCCACTTCATGGTGTGTCAGCCATGCTCATTTCAGTCTTTCTTCATCTCCTCTGTCCATCAGGAATCTTCTGGCCAACCCTTTTAACTGTGACTGCCGTCTGTCCTGGTTCGGAGCGTGGCTTCGGAGCCGGCGGATCGTGACGGGGAATCCTCGCTGCCAGAGCCCCGCCTTCCTTAGAGAAATCCCCCTGCAGGACGTAGCTGTTCCTGACTTCCGCTGCAGAGACGGTACGATACACACATACACACACGATATATAATACTGACAGAAAAACATAATCAAAATGCAACACAGTTCAGATCTATAGAAGAGCATTGAGACAAAGGGGAAGAACATGCATAACGTTAAAGGTGGAGCTTAACATTACACATTAAAGGTCTCCTTTCATTCCCTTTCTGATGTCTTTTATACATAAAGATGTGTCCCCGGTGTGTCAGGGAACTCACGCAGCATCAGAAAATAAAACCCTCTCTCTTTTCCTCCGTACCCACATCTCTAAAAACGGGGCTACAACGGAGCTGATACAATTTTGCGTCCGATATGACGTAATATCGGAAATGTGGGCTGGCTTTACACCCACGTCGCTATCAGAAACAATGCGCGACGTGTTTTGGACGTAATAACAATCAAAACTATTTTAAAGCTACGGACCCAGAATCAGCACTTTAGTAACAGGTCTGAAATAGAGGGATATGAGGCATGGCTAGAATGGGTGATCTGTTTGGTATTTTGAGCAAAACACTTCATAGACATGTTTTGTATAGATCTGAGACCTATAATATATGCCTAAAAATAGTATAATAGGAGACCTTTAACATGTTATCTCTGAGGCTGAAGCCCTACTAAATCAAAATGCAAAACAGTTCAGAAGTGTTAACCCTTCAATACGATTCTACAGAATAGCATTTAGAGAAAGGGGAAGAAGATGGTGGAGATCAGGAATCTGCAACATGACACATTAAAGGTGGGGTAGGTAATTCACTTCAGAAACACTTTTTGTTATATTCCATGGAATGCTCTTGACATCCCGATAGCAATGAATATATGAAATGCTTTGACAATAAATATATACAAATATATCATCTGTGGAAGCCGTAATACTGTAAAAAGCACGACCAATCATCTGAGCCGGCCCGGCTAAAATAACTGGATGGCCTACCTGCCTGTCAGCCTTCCATCTGTGCACAAACTTATCTCGTGCCCTCATTGGTCATGTGCGCGTTCGTGTGTGTTGGAGGAGGGGCTCTGTAAGGAAGTGGGAGATTTTTTCCAGTTGTGTATTTTCAAATTCTAGCGCACTCGAGCTGGTTTCTCCATTCTTACCTACCCTACCTTTAACATCTGAAATCCTACTTTTTGACCTATTCCTTTTCATGTACATAAGTCTTGCACACCAGAACAACTGAATTTCCCCCGAGGAGGATTACTAAAGGTAAATCGTCTAATATACTTCTTCCAGGTTCAGTTCTGGATGATATCAGCTGCTCCCCCGGCCCTCAGTGTCCCTCTCACTGCACCTGCATGGACACGGTGGTCCGCTGCAGCAACAAACACCTGCTGGCTCTGCCCAGAGGCCTCCCCCGCAACGTCACCGAGCTGTGAGTCTGAAACACAACAACTAAATCCTGTTACTGTCAGGGTCTTTGGTCCAGACGTTACTTTATGTAACTTAAAGGTCACCAATTGTGCAAAATCCACTTCTTCATGTCTCTTCTACATCAACATGTGTCCCCTCTTCTTCATGTCTCTTCTACATCAACATGTGTCCCCTCTTCTTCATGTCTCTTCTACATCAACATGTGTCCCCTCTTCTTCATGTCTCTTCTACATCAACATGTGTCCCCTCTTCTTCATGTCTCTTCTACATCAACATGTGTCCCCTCTTCTTCATGTCTCTTCTACATCAACATGTGTCCCCTCTTCTTCATGTCTCTTCTACATCAACACGTGTCCCCTCTTCTTCATGTCTCTTCTACATCAACATGTGTCCCCTCTTCTTCATGTCTCTTCTACATCAACATGTGTCCCCTCTTCTTCATGTCTCTTCTACATCAACACGTGTCCCCTCTTCTTCATGTCTCTTCTACATCAACATGTGTCCCCTCTTCTTCATGTCTCTTCTACATCAGCATGTGTCCCCTCTTCTTCATGTCTCTTCTACATCAACATGTGTCCCCTCTTCTTCATGTCTCTTCTACATCAACATGTGTCCCCTCTTCTTCATGTCTCTTCTACATCACCATGTGTCCCCTCTTCTTCATGTCTCTTCTTCATCAACATGTGTCCCCTCTTCTTCATGTCTCTTCTTCATCAACATGTGTCCCCTCTGTGGAAAGAGACTCTGAAAGTTTCAGGAAAAAAGATTCTCTCTCTTTTTGATCCATTTCTTTAAAAACCTGTCTGAAAATGAGCTGATCAGATTTTGGCCACTTGATGATGTCATAACGATGTTTTGTCTTGTGTAACCATTAGCCAATCAGCAACCAAGGTAACCCCCCCCCCCACCTTATCACCTGAATCTCCTCCTAGAGCACCATTGAGTTCTTTGTAACCAAATCTCTCTCAGAGGGGCGTGGGGAGGGGCTCCTTATTTTCATCTAAAGTAACAGACAGAGAATCAGCACTTTGGAAACAGGGCTGAAACAGAGGGGATTATGGGTAATGCTGCAATGATCTGTTTGGTGTTTCAGCCAATCAGAGACAGGCTCTGTATTTATCTGAGACCTGTAATATATTGATGAAAAACAGTATAACAGGGGACCTTTAAGAGAAGCTGGACTTTAAGACGTACATTTGACATTGTATAAACCAGTTTCATCCGGTGTAAAGGATGTACATGTAACGGTAATTATCTTATCAGCAATGTTTATTTCATTTTATAAAGAACGTTTTAAATATAGCTGCATATCAACATATCAAACATACAACAATCCAGATATTTTCCTGCAGTAACCAAACACTTTAATAACGTTTTTGTTGTCATGTACATGTCGCATAATAATTTGATTTAATACTTTCAGAAGGAACCTTTGTAGAGACATCATTATGTTTTAATCAGTGATGTGCTTGTCAGAAATGATTTCCTAAATAAAGAATGTGAATTATTACTCATCAGAGATGTGCAATGAAATATCTTTCTCTTGTCCTCTCAGGTATCTGGATGGTAACCAGTTCACCAGTGTTCCTACGGAGTTAGCCACGTTCAAATTCCTGCAGCTCGTGTAAGAGACACTCATTAATCCTCTCACTCCACTGACACATCTACAGCCACTGTCCTGACTTCTGACACTGTATAACAACCGCTGACAATGTGAACACAAATTCTACTTTTACCTGAGAATCTGCAGTTTAAAGTCATAGTTACGGTTTTATTTTTACTATCAGACATCGAAGTACATTGGATGCGTAACAGCTGCATGTGCATGTTGACTGTAATCATGGATACAGCCAGCAGGGGGAGCTGTGGACTGCGTAGTTAAATCTGTGGTGGAGAAATCAATATCATTAAAACAGCTTCATGTGTTTTATATATTTGTCACAAACACACATTTATTTCTTCATGGGACTAACTGAATTCAGCTTTATTATAAGGTATTATAGCGGGATGAATTGTGTCTCTGTGGGAGAACATGTGTCAGTATCGTTATGGAGAGGTCGCAGTATGTGTTATTAGTTTGTGTGTGTGTGTGTTCCTGTGTGTACTGCACTGTTTGTTGGACCCCTGTAGTGTGTTGTGTGTGTGTGTATACTGTATGTGTGTGTTATTGTGTATTAATTGGAATTGACCTTTTCATCTCCAGAGATCTGAGCAACAATAAAATCAGCTCCCTGTCAGATGACTCCTTTTCCAACATGAGCCAGCTCACCACTCTGTGAGTACACACACACACACACACACACACACACACACACACACACACACACACACACACACACACACACACACTCCTACTTAGTGATGTCTTTCAACAGCGACCCTTCATTGATATCCTCACAACAGCATGCATGAAGGCAACAGGCATTTAAAAACAGTTTGTGCTTTTGTCTGTATTTGTATTTAATTCACACTAATTAATTAATTGAGTCCTTCATGGACATTTGCCAGATGAAGCCATTAAAGCTAATTTTCATCGGTAGTCCCTGGCAGGTTGTTGGCGTTAAAAGAAAACATACAGAAACATGTTTTTAGCTCAATCAAACCCATAAACACACAACGGACACAAAAGCCCAAACATTAGCACAGATAAAACCTAAAAGACACAAACATTATGAAAAGTCATGATATAACCCTCCTCCAGTTTATAACAGCATGTGTGATTGGAAAAGTGTGTGTTGTTATTGATGTGTTCTGACAGTTAATGTTATAATTGTTGTTTTTCACCCTCAGGATCCTCAGTTATAATTCTCTGCACTGCATCCCTCCTCTGGCCCTGGGAGGCCTGCGCTCTCTGAGACTGCTGTGAGCACACACACACACACACACACACACACACACACGCACGCACGCACGCGCGCGCGCGCGCACGTACGCACGCACGCACGCACGCACGCACGCACGCACGCACGCACGCACGCACGCACGCACGCACACACACACACACACACATATTTGTCAGTGGCCTAAACCACATCACTGTTGTCCCCTCGTGTTCTTTCTAAAGCCCTCATCAGTGTTTGTACTTTACATATTCCTCTGTCAGAGTCGTTATGTTTCCCGTTTGACTTTTGACCCTCGTCTTTTTCCGTCTTTCAGCTCTCTCCATGGCAACGACATCTCAGAGCTGCAGCAGGGCATCTTCAGCGACGTGGCCTCCCTGTCTCACCTGTAAGCCTTTAAATATACATGTAGTGTAATGAGGTCTGTGTGTGTGTGTGTGTGTGTGTGTGTGTGTGTGTGTGTGTGTGTGTGTGTGTGTGTGTGTGTGTGTGTGTTTGTGCGAGTGTGTATGAGCAAGTGTGTGTGTGTGTGTGTGTGTGTGTGTGTGTGTGTGTGTGTATGTTTGTGCGAGTGTGTATGAGCAAGTGTGTGTGTGTGTGTGTGTGTGTGTGTGTGTGTGTATGTTTGTGCGAGTGTGTATGAGCAAGTGTGTGTGTGTGTGTGTGTGTGTGTGTGTGTATGTTTGTGCGAGTGTGTATGAGCAAGTGTGTGTGTGTGTGTGTGTGTGTGTGTGTGTGTGTATGTTTGTGCGAGTGTGTATGAGCAAGTGTGTGTGTGTGTGTGTGTGTGTGTGTGTGTGTGTGTGTGTGTATGTTTGTGCGAGTGTGTATGAGCAAGTGTGTGTGTGTGTGTGTGTGTGTATGTTTGTGCGAGTGTGTATGAGCATGTGTGTGTGTGTGTGTGTGTGTGTGTGTGTGTGTGTGTGTGTGTGTGTGTGTGTGTGTGTGTGTGTGTGTGTGTGTGTGTGTGTGTGTGTGTGTGTGTGTGTGTGTGTGTGTGTGTGTGTGTGTGTGTGTGTGTGTCAGTCAGATAGAGTCCAGTTCTCAGAGAGTGAGTGGTTTCAAGTGACTGCTTGCAGGATTGAATTAGCCGGAAAGATCCATCGCTTCCCAAAGGTCTATTGATCTGAGGCGTGTGTGTTGTTTGTTTGTGTATGTGTGTGTTTGAGTTTACAGTATAATCATCTTCAGTCAAGCATGGTCCATGTGAGTCAATCTGAAGAAGTACTGGAGGGAGGAGAGGGGAGATGGATGGTGGAGAGGAGGGAGGGAGGATTTTTAAGGGCAGAAAATCAATTCTGAAATAAAATAGTTCCAGTAAGGCGAATGAATCAGTCTGAATGATCTAGTGCTAGGATTTAATTATTTATTTGAATTTTTTGAGTATGTATTGCAATATTTAACCTCCTTTAGCCCATTAGACTTCTATTGATTTATCTTTTCTGCATTGTGTACGGTTTTTGTTTTGTTATTACATTTTTATTGTATCTTAATCTCTGTGTCAGTCAGAGCTGTCAACATGCTGCTGGGACAAAACACATCTCTACATAGGATGCTTTTTGTTATTTGAGTCAATAATGTCATCTAAAAGGAATACTTCTTGGCTTTGAATAGCAGCAACAAAACATCTTTATTCTAAACCGATGAAAACGAAAACTCAATGAAATGTTTTCATGTTGCTCAAAACAATAATGTGGCAGGAAAACGTGATCCAAAAAAATCTCGTATGTAAGAAATAAGGAGCTAAATATAGACCTGACATATTTAACCGCTCAGATATTGTCTTTGATGATCAGGCTTTGAGGTAAGGACTTAAGGTACATCAAACTTTTATGAAGTATTTTCTTTCATGTCGTATTTTTGAGTAAATTGATGGAAGATTATTTTTTTTTAAAATTGAGCTTCTTATTTATTTTGTATATCTTCGTCATTTTCACTTCTATTATTTCTGATAGAAATCTACTAAGAAGTAGAAAAGAGTGCCGTCAGTACAACAAGTGAGCACAAGACCTCATGGTTAATACATTCAAACACTAACACCAGGGTTCTTACGGTCATTCAAAACCTGGAAAAGTCATGGAAATTCAAAATGCTAATTCCAGGCCCTGGAAAAGTTATGGAAAACAATATTTTTCCCAAAGTTTTGGAAAAGTCATGGAAATGTAACTAAAGTTGCATCAAATATAATTTATATTTTATCTAATCGCTGAAATAGTAATACTATAATGATAATAAATACTGTATCGTATAGTAATGAAACGTAAAATGGCATTTAACTGACGAGGTATTTTGCTGGTGAGAGATTTTAGTTGCTTTAGCCTGTAGAAGCTAGTAAGCCTACTATTTGATTTGATTTAGATAGGCACAACATGTTTCATATGCAGACCTTATTTTCCTGTTCCATGTTAAAATACAAATGTTTCAGTGGTACCGCTGAGAAAGAGTAATTTTTTTGGTCATGGAAACTTAAGTAAAGGTCATGGAGAAGTCATGGAGAATCATTGGTGAAAAAGTGTATGAACCCTGTAACACACTTATTTGGAGGTGCTACTGTAAGTGTGTGCCTGCATTTTTGATTATAATCCCTCATTGCAAACAGAAAGAACTGTGCACTCTTACTATGAAACATAGAGTACGGAAAGTCACGATTAAAGTAAAAAGTCCTGCTATAAAAATCTAATGGATGTTTTTGATGGACTGTGAAGAATCTTAGTAGTAACTTTTAGGATAGGAACAACGTCTGTGATCATCTCCATGCCTTCTTATTTTAGTAAGACAGAGAGGTTTATTATTTGTAGAGCACATTTCAGAAACAAGACAATTCAAAGAGCTTTACAAACATTACAAAAGCAGTAAGACAATTTAATAAAAATCAAAAAGAAACAATTAAAACCAATAACAAAATAGGCAGGTATAAAATAACAAAATAAGAGTAACAGTTCAGTGTAAGATGTGAAAAGTTGATTTAAAGTGGACCTATCATGCTATATTTGAATAATATAGTGTAGGACCATACCTATATAAGGCATATTTATACTTTTTTTTTTTCAAAATACCAAACAGATCATGCATTTTAGCCATGCCTCATTTTGCTCAATTTGCACTTTTTTACCCCTGTTTTAGCAAGGGCTGATTCTGTGAGAACAGCACCACCTACAGGCCTGGCATATGTACTACAGCGTCTCCAGCGCTTTCGAACGGCAATGGCCGTGGCTGTCTCCTCCTGATTGGTGGAGTTGGCCCAATAGCCGTAGCGCCACCGTCCTGACGTCAGGACAGTGTTCAAATCTGGATCAGTTTTTATCAGATCCGTTGCAGCCCCTTTTTTAGAGATTTGGGTATGGAGGAAAATAGAGAGGGTTGTGTTTTCTGACACTTGGTGAGTTCCCTGGAACACCGGGGACACATATTCATGTAGAAAAGACGTACAAAAGTGCATTTTGCATGATAGGTCCCCTTTAATATAAGACAGCGGCAAACAGAAAAGTGAGAGTTTCAGCAATACTCATGTTGCTCAAAAGATGTTATCAGAACCGACAGAAATAATGAATACATGTTTACAATAAACATGCTTTAAACTAATCCTTTGGAGAGGCATAGCGTGTGTTGTTGTGTGAAATCCAGACATTCCTTCTGTAAAAGACTGATGCATGACTTATGATTATAAGCAATCCAGTCAGGCTTGGAGAGGTCTAGGTATTGTGATGTGTGTGTGTGTGTGTGTGTGTGTGTGTGTGTGTGTGTGTGTGTGTGTGTGTGTGTGTGTGTGTGTGTGTGTGTGTGTGTGTGTGTGTGTGTGTGTGTGTGTGTGTGTGTGTGTGTGTGTGTGTGTGTGTGTGCGTGTGTGTGTGTGTGTGTGTGTGTGTTTACGTGCGTGCATGCGTGTGTTTGTGTGCGTGTGTGTGTGTGTGTGTGTGCGTGTGCGTGTGTGTGTGTGTGTGTGTGTGTGTGTGTGTGTGTGTGTGTGTGTGTGTGTGTGTGTGTATGTGTGTGTGCGTGTGTGTGTGTGTGTGTCAGAGAAACAAAGGAAGTGTTTTCCTTCTCATCACTTGTTCCTGATGGAGTGTAATCGACTGAGGAGAATTGCATATTCTCTCATATGACCTTGTTGCGTGTGTGTAGGTGTGTGTGTGTGTGTGTGTGTGTGTGTGTGTGTGTGTGTGTGTGTGTGTGTGTGTGTGTGTGTGTGTGTGTGTGTGTGTGTGTGTGTGTGTGTGAGAGAGATCATAACATGATGAGTGTTATTTGATCCCACATGTTTCTCTGATAATCTTATCAAGTGAATCAATTGACCTGGTCTAAATGAATATTATCATCTCCATGATCTTGTGTGTGTGTGTGTCTGTCCTGTGTGTGTGTATATGTTTGTGTGTGCGTGTGTGTGTGTGTCTGTCCTGTGTGTGTGTGTATATGTTTGTGTGTGCGTGTGTGTGTGTGTGTACATATGTGAGGCATGAGGGCTCCACCGTGTGGCTTTAAAAAACAATGCAAAAATCTAGACTTTTATGCTGTATTTATATATCTTAAATTGAATTTCACTTTCTTTTATCATTATTATTTGTGTCTGTCTATTTTTCTAACAACAAAAACTCTTACATTTTTCTCACAGCATTATTTATTTATTCTTGTTTCTTACTTTTTCCTACATTGTTTCTTTCTTTCCGTCCAGCTCCCTTTCTTCACTCCTTTTCTCTTCTCCTACTCGTCTGTCATTTCCCCTTTCCCCATCTTCTTTACTTTCAAAATGTTTCCTATGAGTATCCCTTCCCCCTGTGTACCATCTTCATTTTTCCTCTCCTTCTGTTTTCTTAATCCCAACCTCCAGAATTATTTAACTTTTCATCTCCATCATGCACCACCCTCCCCTCTGTCAATGATTGATTTATAATAGTTTCTTTTATTTGCATATTGACTGGTTATAATGTGCCATTTCATTTGTGTTTCACAGCTGTCTTCGTCTGCCTGTATTGTCTGTGTTTTATCTGTTGTAACTTTGTTCATGCTGCCCGCCTTGGCCAGGTCGCTCTTGAAAAATACATTTGAATCTCAATGAGACTTTTTACCTGGTTAAATAAAGGATATATATAATTATCTGACCCTGTGTTTTTATTCTCTTCCTCAGAGCTATTGGAGCGAACCCTCTGTACTGTGACTGCCGTCTGCTCTGGCTGTCCGACTGGGTGAAGAGCGGCTACAAAGAGCCGGGGATCGCTCGCTGTGCGGGGCCTGGAGGGATGGAGGGGAAGCTGCTGCTCACCACGCCCGCCGACAAGTTCCAGTGTCTGGGTAAGCTGGAGGAAAAACACCCTAACTGAAAAACATGCATTCACACATGGACTTAAAGGAAAGCTCTGCATTAGTGATATTTTAATGTTGTTATTGAAACTGCTTTGGAAGATTATGGCTACCAGGATTAAGGCCATATGTGAAAAAGGTATAGCGGTTTGAAACAAAAGTGATATTTGTGTGGGAAATGTCAGAATTCTAAGGATTTGTGAAAAAGTTAGAGATCTAATGTCATCCAGACTGAATTCCCCCCCAAAATTGGTCAAATAACAAAAGTAAAAATTGTTAGAAAAAGTCAGAACTAAATAAAGTGTCAGAATTCTGAGAAAACTAAAAATTCTGAGAAAAAAAGTCACAAATCAAAAACACATTTTAGAATGCTTGAACAATTTCAACAACAAAAAAAGTCAACATTTTAACCTGTTAAGCCCGAGAGCACTGCCGCAACATCTTGCAGGAAACAGTGTCTGAGGGCATGTTCATTTAATAAACTATGAATGTTTTATATCCATGTAACGGGAAGAAACTCATCTAACTGATCATTTTTCTTTTTTTTTTTTAAAGAAAACCCTCAATGCTAACACTGAGCCTCTGAATTAGCAACGAGTGAAAAATGCTAACACCTTACTGCACCGAAAATCACTCACAAAACCTTATTATTTATCTTTTTTCACATCCATGACATCGATTCACATCGTGAGGTGACACAGAATTGATGGGTACCCTCAGTATCACTGAATTATACGAAATCGCTACGTTATAAACAAAAACAGACATCAACACAGGTGACGCTAGGTAGCTAAAAATGCTAACAAGGTTACCTTGGCTCTGTAGTCTCTCCAAAGTGGTCTTCAATGGCATTAAAATGATAAAAATGCTGCTGAAGTTAATCCATAGGTTAATCCAATGTGTCTGTGTCCCTTTGAAATGATTTCTGATAATCCATGAGCAATGAGATTGATAATCCATGCTTTTCCGTTTCTAGATGTCAGAGCTAGAGTGTAGCTTCACTCTAATGCAAAATTACATGCGCAAAGCCCCCACCTTTTTGTTTCACAATGAGTGTTTGTGGGGGACTCCCCCTTCGATTCTATTGGCTCTAACGGTCAGAAAGAGGTGTCAACCATCAAAATTGACCAATTCACTATAAGTAAAAAATGATTTTTGGACGGACACTATCATTTACAGTTTTTTACTATGTAAAATCTGAATTTTCCTTAAAATAAAAAACATCTATATTGATTCTGACTTGTCTACATCCAACTCACAGGTTTATCATTACTTTGAGAATAAAGATTATTAATTTAACTCTTTTAAAAGGGAAGATATGGTCATTTGTCCTGGGAATGTCATTTTCGAGCCTGAGACCTGAAAAACAGGCTCAGGGCTAAACAGGTTAAATATATAAGGCAGGATTCTGAAAAAAGGCAATTAAAAAAAAAATCTAAATTTGGAGAAAATAGTGAGAATACTGAAAAATAGTCAGAACATTTTTTTGGGGGGGAAATAAAAAGAAATACAAATTATAATACAGAAAAACCACAAAGAGTCAGTGAGATCAAGGTTCAAGGTTCAAGGTTCTTTATTGTCAATCTGACATAGCTACAGAGTAATTATGCAGTTGAAAATCTTATGTCACAGGCTTCTCCAACAATGCAACATAATAACATAACATAATAACAATAAGAGCAAGAGCAATACAAAAATAATAATAGTTATAAAAATGAAATAAAGTTATGATGTGGAATAGTGCAGTATGAGTCTATATACAAGTTATTGGAATGATATATATATATTAAGTATTAGATACATACTACTGAGTAGCAGTTGAATGTTTGAAGTTGTTTCAACAGTTCAATTTTTTAACAGTCTCACTGCCCGCGGGAAGAAACTGTCTCCGAATCTTCTTGTCCTTGCCCGGATGCTGCGGTAACGTCTGCCAGACGGCAACAGAAAGAACAGTTTGTGGCTGGGGTGATGGGGGTCTTTGATAATCCGTAGTGATTTCTTCCTGAGCCGCTGGGAGTAAAGGTCCTCCATGGATGGCAGCTCCGTCCTGGTGATGTGCTGTGCAGTTTTCACCACCCTCTGTAAAGCCTTACGATCGAGGTCGGTGCAGCTGCCGTACCAGGCCGTCATGCTGCCAGTCAGGATACTCTCTATCGTGCACCTGTAGAAGTTGCAGAGTATCCTGGAATCCATTTTGAACCTCCTCAACCTGCGGAGGAAGAAGAGCCGCTGTCGAGCTTTCTTGGTGATGGTGGTGGTGTGAAGAGACCATGTCAGGTCCTCAGTGATGTGGACCCCAAGGAACCTGAAGCTTTTGACTCTCTCCACCGTAGTCCCATTGATGGCGATGGGGGCGTGTCCCTCTCCCTGCTGCTTCCTGTAGTCCACAATCAGCTCCTTTGTTTTGCTGATGTTGAGATGGAGGTTGTTCTCCTGGCACCAAGATGTCAGGTTTTCGACCTCCTCTCTGTACGCCGTCTCGTCATCGTCTGTGATCTGGCCGATGACGGTCGTGTCATCAGCAAACTTCACGATGGTGTTGGAGCTGTGTGTGGCCACGCAGTCGTGGGTGAACAGGGAGTAGAGGAGAGGGCTGAGCACGCAGCCTTGAGGGGCACCGGTGTTAAGAATCAGGGTGGAGGATGTGATATTTCCCACCCGCACTGCCTGGGGTCTGCCCGTCAGGAAGTTCAGGATCCAGTCGCAGAGGGCGCTGTTGAGCCCGAGGTCTCTGAGCTTGATGGCCAGCTTGGAGGGCACAATGGTGTTGAATGCTGAACTGTAGTCAATGAACAGCATTCTCACATATGTGTTCCTGTTCTTCCTGTTAATAGGGAACCAGGCCATCTTTAATCTTCATTGAACTTATACTTTTATTTCTACAGCCCAATAGATGAGGGTAACACCTCCGTCACTTCCGGGCGAAAATTACGGCCCCGCCCACTTTTGGGGGAAAACAACGCTGTCATTTGAATGGCGGTCAATACAAATTCTGAAGTTTTTGCCAATCCGATCAGACATTTTTTTCGTTAGTAGTAGTTGTGTAATGAACAGCTTGCCTGCTAATATGCTAACCTAGCTTTGTTTACCTTGGTAGCTAACACGATATGAACGTTAGCTTGGAGGAAAGGCAACTATAATGCAGTGTAATAAAACTACTATGAACAAAAGCTAGTGGTTCATATTAGGCTAGCAATAACGTGTTTATAATTGCAATCGTATACGGGTATTCTGCTACCATACAATGTAACTTGCATGAATACATTGTTTTGCGCTAGCATACAGCTAGCCTCGTTAGCTACATGCAGTATATGTACGGTCACAATGTACGGTAAACCGGAGTATACTGTATGAGTATTCCGTGTGTGTGACTGCAGACATTCTCCTGCCATGACAAACATGTAAGGCCATCTGCTGACATTGTAGTTGATATATTTAAACGCTAGCAACGTAGCATCACAAAAATGTTTTTCTGACCAAAACTAGCTCAAGCTCCGTGTGTTAGATCGCTACGCCAGCTATAATGTAATTACGTTTCGCGACTGACCGGCAAATCACCCGCAGTATACTGTCAATAGGTATTTTGTGTGTGAATGCAGACATTCTCCTGCTATGAGATACATGTATGCAAGGCCATCTGCTGATATTAGAGTTGATATATGGAAACTCTAGCAACTTAGTTAGCACAGTTAGCACTGTGTCAATGGCTTAGCAGTCCAACACAGTTTACACATTTAAACAGTCTTGTTTGATAAATACACAAATAACAATGCAAACTTACAGGTTGTATACCCAGATCTTCCCCTGCTCCAAACGGTCCAAACAAGCTGTGCATATCCGGCCTCAAACTGGGCAATGTTTTTGGAAGCTTTCGTCTGTGAAATGCCGGTTCTTCGAACCTCTGGAGGAGGAACACGCCGCTGCTGGTGTGGCCATAGCTCTTCGGGATTGGTCCATTTCGTTCCGGGTACCGCATGACATCAGGCGGTACCCGGAACTAAATGGAAGACTCAAATGGGCAGTGACGTATCTCCAACGAGGCGTTTTGGGGAGGTATTTTCTGTGTTAGAGTTTTACTCGCTACAGGGTGTACTTTGAGGGTTTTGACTCTGCACACCGTTTACATGCATAAAAACCTTCATAACACACAAGGGGACGGGTAATAACCGGAAAAGCATGACATGGGAGCTTTAACCAATCGATGATCGGGCTCGATATATGGTTCAATTAAAATCAGTAGACAAGGCTGTCATTTCGCCAGCTGTTACTCTCATGAGCGAGGCGGAAAATAATAGTTTTATCATGCCAACAAGCTGCCGTGTCGTTTATTGCACCTCAAACATTAAAACAAATCCAGAGTTACGTGTTTCTGAACTTCCTCTAAGAACAAAGGACAGTAACAGAAGAGCTCTGTGGCTTCAGGCTCGACCGCCATTCAAATGACAGCGTTGTTTCCCCAAAAAGTGGGCGGGGCCGTAAAGTGACGTAGATGTTACTCTCATCTATGGACATCGATCGCCTACTGCTATATTTCACCATATATCGAGCCCGATCGTCGATTTCCAATGATTTTGTGTAATTGTCTGGCAATCGAGCTCTTTGAAGATCCACAAATCCACGGTTTTCTTAAATGTCTGATCGGATTGGCAAAAACTTCAGAATTTGTGTTGACCGCCATTCAAATGACAGCTTTGTTTTCCCCAAAAAGTGGGCGGAGCCGTCATTTTTGCCCGGATGTGACGCATGTGTTACTCTCATGTATATCACAAATCACTTTGATGACAGAGAGCCTTACAGGAGTTAAGGAAATAGAGAGAGGCACTCCTTGCAGACGGAAAAACAAAAGAGGGTTATTTTAAAGCAGTGGTCTTGATATTCCCGTCGGAAGACCTCAAAACTTAAATTATACATCGGCCTGATATGAAAGAATAACTAAGTGAAAGTTAAGGCAAAGAGAAGAGTTTGAAGTTAGACTTTTTGGACTTCTAAAATAGCAGTGATTATTTAAATCTGTGTGATAGCACATAGGGAGTGATCTTTTATTCAGTGTTTCCTATTAATATGTGCCTAAGGATTTGCTTCCAACAGATTGATCTGTGTTAATGAAAAAGCTTAATTAATCTGCGGTGAATTGAAGTGGTGAAATAATAAGACAGCAGAATTTCAACAGCTGCACAAACAGCACCCTAGAGTTTGACTTAAACTGATTAAACATCTCAGCAGTTCCTCTCTCTTGGTGTGAACTAACATTAGACCCTCTGTGCATTATCCCAGGCGCTAATTGTTGCATTTTTTAAAATGAAAATACTGCAGCTCTGTTAAATAAAGTGTGAACAGCTCTCTTTAATTAATGTTCCTCGTCACCTCCCTTGGAACCGTTTTGCAAACACTTTTCCTCTTCGTCTCAGAGCTCTGCAGGTGTCTCCTTTTGTTTCAAAAACATTTAAGGAATGAGTTTTCCTAAATCTAACTCTGACACACTGTAGGTGATTGCACCTTTAATTGAGAGTTAATTAAGTCTCTCAGGCTGCACTCGGTTGTGCTTAATCTGATGCTCATATGAACATCAAAAGTATTTATTCATATATTCTAGCCTGACTTTGACGACAAATACATTTCACATTACTTAAAGTGGACCTATCATGCTATATTTGAATAATATAGTGTAGGACCATACCTATATAAGGCATATTTATACTTTTTTTTTTTTCAAAATACCAAACAGATCATGCATTTTAGCCATGCCTCATTTCGCTCAATTTGACAATTTCTCGCTCTGTTTAGCAAGGGCAGATTCAGTGAGAACAGCACCATCTACAGGCCTGGCATATGTACTACAGCGTCTCCAGCGCTTTCGAACGGCAATGGCCGTGGCTGTCTCCTCCTGATTGGTGGAGTTGGCCCAATAGCCGTAGCGCCACCGTCCTGACGTCAGGACAGTGTTCAAATCTGGATCAGTTTTTATCAGATCCGTTGCAGCCCCTTTTTTAGAGATTTGGGTATGGAGGAAAATAGAGAGGGTTGTGTTTTCTGACACTTGGTGAGTTCCCTGGAACACCGGGGACACATATTCATGTAGAAAAGACGTACAAAAGTACATTTTGCGTGATAGGTCCCCTTTAAATAACAGTCATATGTTTGTTCATTTTGATCTCTATTAGCCACCTTAACAATACAGAAGTACAGTTTATCACAGTGGAAATACAGGAAATGTATTATAACTCCATCATATAACAACTATCTTACGCTTCACGGTCATCAGGTGGGATTTAACACACACATTTCTTGTTGCCTTTAGTATATTCAAACATATCTTCCTCGACTAACTCCTGAATTAATGACTCTTTGCACAATAATCATCTTTACACATTTTATTTCTACTGCCCATGGTTATATCTTCTTCTACAGTTTACTCATATTAATTCATATTATTTATACACAGTGTCATTACCGCTCCATAATGTATTCATATTTATACTACTGCCTGTGGTGTATATATTATACTCTCTATTTTAATACCTACTGTATAGTGGATGTGAATAAGACTATTAAACACCTGCACTTTTGAAAGAACATCCATTAACATTCATCTGTTTGCATCCTGCTAATTATTTATCTAATATATCATATTCCATGTACTTGTATATAGACTATTCTTGCACTATTTATATTTCATTCGTATTTACTTGCACATCTCAAAACATTCTCTTGCACTATTTAATTAGTTTTATTTGTTTTATGTCCTATATATATTCATGTTGCTCTGTTGGAGGAAGCTGTGACTTCAGTATTTACATTGCCATATCTACACTGTAGCTAATGTGCTCATGACAATAATGCTGCGTGTGTGTGTGTGTGTGTGTGTGTGTGTGTGTGTGTGTGTGTGTGTGTGTGTGTGTGTGTGTGTGTGTGTGTGTGTGTGTGTGTGTGTGTGTGTGTGTGTGTGTGTGTGTGTGTGTGTGTGTGTGTGTGTGTGTGTGTATGGGTGTGGTGTGGTGTGTGTGTGGGTGTGTGTGTGTGTGTGTGTGTGTTTTCTCAGGTCCGGTAGAGGCGTCTGTTCGGGCCAAATGCAGCCCATGTGTGTCTACTCCCTGCCAGAACCAGGGTGTGTGTCAAGTCAACGAAACTGAGCTGTACACTTGCACCTGCAAATCTGGCTTCACGGTATGACCCTTGTGTGTGTGTGTGTGTGTATGTGTGTTTGTGTGTGTGTGTGCGTGCTGTTTGCTCCCTTTACATACCAAGCAATCAAATTACAAACCCAGAGCTGAACGTTTAAAAACACTAATCCAATATTTGATGTGTGTTTGCGTGTTGTCTCTGATTATTTGGTAGCAGTGTCTGATGATAATCCCATCAAATTACTCTGAGTTGACCTGATCTGATTAGGACAAAAGCTCTATATTAAATGTGTGTATCTGTGCGTGATATTTCAGGGTAAACACTGTGAGACCCCGGTGGATGCGTGTGTCAGTAACCCCTGCACCAACGCAGGACTCTGCATTAGTGACGAACAGACCCGAGGCTTCAGGTAACGAGTCCTAAAACTGATGTTAATGGGGATGAAAACCAACCATTTAAATGTCCTGAAAAACGTTTTCAGGACATTTAAATTATTACATCCCACATTTGTATCTGTTTTCCTCTCATGCTTCCTGGTAGTATTGTATCCATGGCTGTAGGAATGCCAGTGTTTCACGTTATTTATTGTAATATGCACAACACTTCAAGAGAGACGGATGTTGCAAATGAAAGTCTTAGACCTCAGGCTCCCTCTAACAATGATCATTAAATATGTAAATAATGCAAGGGTCGCTAATTCAATTGAATTCAAAATACTTTATTCATCCCTCAAGGGCGATTCAAGCCGTGTAAGCCATATAAGGATACACTAGAACACAGATAATAATACGTAAAATAGAAGGGCACACAGAGAGCAAAGACCTCTGTCAAAGCCGTGATGATTAGTGGAATTGAATGTGTACAGCCGCCCCAAATTCACTCCAAAATGTTGTTCATCTTTTGCCCATGCTGCACCCCCTTAGCCAATGAGAATAGGGCAAGATTTGACCTTAAATATGCTGACAAACAGACCAACAAATAAACTGTGATGAAAATGTGGATTTTTTTATTTCAAGTATAGCATTAGCATTTTGTATGTAAATGCCAATTTAGATGTTTATATCCATGTAGTATTTGTTGTGTTAATTAGTTCTGTGTTAATTAGTATTGATGTATATGTTAGCTGTTGATCTTACATGTTTGTTTGTGTATTTGTTCATATTTAGCTGTGCATGTGCCTTCGGTTTCCATGGCACGTTCTGCGAGGTGAACGTGGACGACTGCGAGGACCACGGTTGCGAGAGCGACGCCACCTGTGTGGACGGAGTCGGAAACTACACCTGCGTCTGTCCGCCAAACTACACCGGTCAGGAAATGCTAAAATGCTAACTTATTTCCAAGTTTTAGGACTCATTCCCGCACCACTATGTTTGGTTTGAAGTTACAAACTGTTGTTGTTCTTTTCTCTCATTCTCAGGTCTGTTTTGTGAAGAACTAGAGGACGTTTGTTCTCCAGGTAGAAACCCCTGTCAGCATCAGTCCACCTGCATCAGCACTCTGACCGGCACCAGGTGACCCCACACACACACACACACACACACACACACACACACACACACACACACACACACACACACACACACACACACACACACACACACACACACACACACACACACACACACACACACACACACTCAAATGCCCAGCTCAGCAAAGTTACGGATCCCAGATGAGAATACAAAAATATAAACACACAGACAAATACAGTTTTGCTGAGGTGTGTGTTCATTCCCTGAAGTCCTCCCCCATGGTTCATGAAGTATATGTGTGTGTGTGTGTGTGTGTGTGTGTGTGTGTGTGTGTGTGTGTGTGTGTGTGTGTGTGTGTGTGTGTTTGCTGCAGGTGTGTGTGTATTCCAGGCTGGGTGGGGCCAAACTGCAGTATAGATTATAATGAGTGTGTGGACCATCGCTGTCAGAACGGCGCTCAGTGTGTGGACCATCTGGACGGATACAGCTGCGTCTGCCCGCAGGGATTCAGGTACTGGGAACACTGGGAGTAATGGGGACACTGTGACGCTGTAGAATGTCAGGAAATACTGGAAATTACAAACATTAGGAACATGAATCCACATGTGTACACATAAGGAATCTACATACATTTAGCCATACAGTTATTTGATAACAAGGTAATAGAAAATTCATTTTAAGGAAAGAATCAGAATCAGGATTCCTTTATTAGTAGTTAATGTATTCCTTATTCATTCAAATTTAAGAGTCAGAATTTTGAGAAAAAGACAGAATTTAGAGATTTGGAGAAAAGTCAGAATTTAGAGATTTGGAGAAAAAGTCTGAATTTGGAGAAAAAGTCAGAATTTAGAGATTTGGAGAAAAAGTCAGAATTTGGAGAAAAAGTCAGAATTTTGAGATTTTTAGAAAAAGTCAGAATTTAGAGATTTGGAGAAAAAGTCAGAATTTGGAGAAAAAGTCAGAATTTAGAGATTTGTAGAAAAAGTCAGAATTTAGAGATTTGGAGAACAAGTCAGAATTTGGAGAAAAAGTCAGAATTTAGAGATTTGGAGAAAAAGTCAGAATTTAGAGATTTGGAGAAAAAGTCAGAATTTAGAGAAAAAGTCCAAATTTAGAGATTTGGAGAAAAAGACAGAATTTAGAGATTTGGAGAAAAAGTCAGAATTTAGAGATTTGGAGAAAAAGTCAGAATTTAGAGATTTGGAGAAAAAGTCAGAATTTAGAGATTTGGAGAAAAAGTCAGAATTTAGAGATTTGGAGAAAAAGTCAGAATTTTTAGAAAAAGTCATACAGTTATTTGATATCAAGGTAATAGAAAATTCATTTTAAGGAAAGAATCAGAATCAGGATTCCTTTATTAGTAGTTAATGTATTCCTTATTCATTCAAATTGAAGATACTCAAAAAACAACTAATGTAGTCAAAACAATACTTTAAATAATGTTGAATTAAGATATTTGGCTTTTCATAATAACGTAAAAAGAATTACAAAAGTACATAAACTGTTATAATTGCATGTATTTTCAAGGCAATTCAAAGTGCTTTACAAAAAAACATTGAAATCATCCTGACAAGAAGCACACTGAAACATTACAGTTAAATACATTTAAAACAGTCATCAAAGATAATACTAATAAAACAAGTGGCAAAAAGGAAGTCTTTCCAAAATGTAACAATCATCAAGCAGCTCAGAGAGTAAGAAAAGGAGAGTTATGCAGAACGTTTCTTATCAACATCTGAAATATAATCTCCCCTCCCTCTCAGCGGAGAGTTTTGTGAGGCGGCGGCTCTCCCCCCCCCGCCGCTCTGCCAGCTGTCGGCGTGTCAGAACGGCGCCCCCTGTGTGCAGGAGGCGGGCGTCGCGGTGTGCGAGTGTCTGCCGGGCTTCGAGGGGGATCGCTGCCAGAAACTGGTCAGCGTGAACTTCGTGGATCGAGATTCATACGTTCAGCTGCAGGACGTCAAGAACTGGCCTCAAGCCAACATCACGCTGCAGGTGAGAGACGCCGGAGAAGATGCTTCATAGCTTCTGTTGGGGAAATACTGAATGTCCTCTTCCAATATGAGAGTCCACATGATAACAAAGGTATCCCAACTGTAGCTGTGAACATGACAGGATGTGTGATTACCTAGAAGAGCATCAGGACTGTTTGAGGCATATGATAGCTATGTGATTAACATGATGATTCAGCCTCTATGGAGATAGACATATGACAAGCATGCTCATTTCTGACGTGGAGCTAATCTGAAGTAAACATTGAATACTGCTTTATATTCCTCCATCTTGGGACTGTGTGAGCATTTTGAGATTTTGAGAGAAAGTCCGAATTTTGAGAGAAAGTCATAATTTTGAGATATTGAGAAAAAGTCATAATTTTGAGAAAAAGTCATAATTTGGGGAGAAAGTCAGAATTTTGAAAAAGCCAGAATTTAGAGAGAAAGTCAGAATTTTGAGATTTTGAGAAAAAGTCCGAATTTTGAGAGTCCGAATTTTGAGATTTTGAGATAGTCATAATTTTGAGAAAAAGTCATAATTTGGAGAGAAAGTCATAATTTGGAGAAAAAGTCATAATTTGGAGAGGAAGTCAGAATTTTTGAAAAAGCCAGAATTTAGAGAGAAAGTCAGAATTTAGAGATTTTGAGAAAAAGTCAGAATTTGGAGATTTTGGGAAAAAGTCAGAATTTGGAGAAAAAACTCACTATTTTGTTCATGACAGGACGTATACTTACCTAGAAGAACCGGTATTCCTCCATCTTGTGACTGTGTAACTCCCTCTCTTGTATATCAGCATGTGAATATATCTTATCTTATTTTAATGAAATACCGACAGCAGGAGACTCTCACACACAAACACACGCATACACTCTGAATGTGTGTCTTTATTAATGTGTGTGTGTGTGTGTGTGTGTGTGTGTGTGTGTGTGTGTGTGTGTGTGTGTGTGTGTGTGTTTCAGGTCTCAACAGCAGAGGATAACGGTATCTTGCTCTACAACGGAGACAACGAGCCAATCGCTGTGGAGCTCCATCAGGGTCACGTCAGAGTCACATATGACCCGGGAAATCAGCCTGCCACCACTATCTACAGGTACACACACACACACACACACACACACACACACACACACACACACACACACACACACACAGTGACCTGTACCTGACCTGTATCTAAATTATGTGTATCAGGTATATTTTGACGTACATTTAACCTGTATTCTCTCTGATGGCCAGCAGGGGGCGACTCCACTGGTTGCAAAAATAAGTCAGATTGTTTAGAAGTCTATGAACAAATGACCTCACTCCTCACTTGATTTATTAACTTTGTAAACATGTTTTTACGTGATATCTTAATTGCTAATTTCAAGTTTTTCTCAATACGGCATTCAGTTCATTATCCCATTCATATAGTCCCAAGAGACGTGAAAGCAGGTTTTGCTCTAAGTCGTTGGTACTTTTTGATTGACAGGTAGCTATAACGTTGACCCTCTCGTCCAAATATTGTCACTTCTTGCTCCAAAAAACTAAAACAAAGCGAAAACGGTAGACGCCAAACTAATTGGATAAGATTTAGAACAAAAATACACGTGTTTTCCTGAAAAAGGACCACTTGAAGAGTGAAGCAAGCCCACATCCGAATCAGCTTCTGGAAACAAAGTGAAGTAAGGCATTAAACTCCACGGAGAATTTTAAATCTGACAATATTCACTTATATTACCGGCATATGTATCGGTCAGATGTCTCAGAATACACACTCATAGAGTCCTATTCAGGCAGGTCCTTCACACACAGGATACAAAGGTTCAGTTGAAGCCAAGTAGGAAATTAGACTTCAGGTGTCCAACCTTTTCTGCGCCATGTGCTGATCCTGAGCAGCTCAACAGGTTTAATATCACACTGACTCCCTCACACACACCTCCTGACGCCCTCACACACACCTGCTGACTCCATCACACACACTTCCTGACTCCAGTAGCAGCTCCAGGGCGATTAACATGTCCTCCTCATCAGATTGAAAAAGCCGAGTGTACCTGAGCCCAGCGATACACCGGACTCTTCAGGCCCTCAGCGGCCTCTCAGCTCACTGTAGCCCAGCAACACCACTTACTGTGTGTGTGTGTGTGTGTGTGTGTGTGTGTGTGTGTGTGTGTGTGTGTGTGTGTGTGTGTGTGTGTGTGTGTGTGTGTGTGTGTGTGTGTGTGTGTGTGTGTGTGTGTGTGTGTGTGTGTGTGTGTGTGTGTGTGTGTGTGTGTGTGTGCGTGTGCGTGTGCGTGTGCGTGTGCGCGTGCGCGTGCGCGTGCACGTCTGTGTGTGTGTGTCTGTGTCTGTGTCTGTGTCTGTGTGTGTGTGTGTGTGTGTGTGTGTGTTTGCCCAGAGCGAGCCCTGCAGTGTTTGAGAATATGGACAGCACCGGTGTGTGTGTTTTGGTTGAATCACAGACGCAGCCGGAGGACACTTGAAGCAGAGTGTCCACTCAGTGTGGAGGGCTTAAATGTTTTGATGGTTCACACACACACACACAAACACACACACACACACACACACACACACACACACACACACACACACACACACACACACACTCTGAGGCTATTTGTGTGATAAGCAGCTGCTGTAGGAGGAGGAGATTGAGAGTTCGGGGAATCGTCTGAGTAGGATTGAAGTGGTGAGAAAACAGAGAACTTGAGATAATAAAAAAAAGATTCATTAGTCTAAATTAGCACCGCTCCATTATTACAAACTATATAATCATGATTGTTTTGTTTGTTGAGATCACAGTTATTTAACATGAGTACTTTAAAAACCAAACAATAATTAAACACTTCAAGAAAGGAGTCTTTTTGACAAAAACAAATGAAACATTTAATTAGATAAAGAAATACAACTATGTAATATGATGGTGATACTATTTATAAAACCTACATAAATAAAACTATTATAAAATAAATTAGGAAATAATATTCAAAGAAATAATGTAACATTTAAAAATAAATCAAACTAAATATGATTAACTATGTTGTAAGCTACTGAAAACTGCTAAACACAAATGTTAAAATAATAATAAAACATTGATTAAATATGTTAAGCAACTTACTAAAAGTCTTCCAAATGTACTTGCCTTTTGTCCAGTGAATATTGAGTGAATTATAAATATTTGGTTTGACATCCAAAATATTAAAAATGTTATCCTCCCAACAAATGTAATCCAAAGAAACCACCAACACATGTTACGCTCCGTTCCTGCAGCACTGAGACGGTGAATGACGGTCTGTTTCACACGGTGGAGCTGGTGACCTTTAACCGGATGTTGAACCTGTCGGTGGACGGAGGCGAGCCGACGACCCTCGACAGCCAGGAGGGCCGGAGCCAGCGGGGGGCCGGGGACGCCCCTCTGTACGTGGGAGGTGAGAGGACAAAACTACATTTAAAAAAATGTGTCACAACATTGATTTCTATTCAGGGGTCCATTACAAATGTTACTTAATTTGGAGTACACAATTACACTTACCAAAGTAAAAGTACTGGCACATTTCAGGATATATATTTGAAGTAATGTGTTTATAAAATCTGCAAAAGGAGAGATATTTTCAATACTTGATTGGAAATTCAACAGGTTTAAACCTATTATCAAACATGTAGCATGTATAGGTGAATAGAATACCTTTAACAACCAACTCAGGGATAGGAAAGATGAATAGAAGGGGGATATTTCTAATTACAGTAAAAGCTAAGTTAAAAATGTATGTTTTCAGCTGCCAGTTAAAAATATCTAAGACGTCTTCCTATATTTGTAATAAAGGATATGAACACTCTCTCTCTCTCTCCGTGTCTCTGCAGGAATGCCTGAGGCGGTGCTGGACTCCTCTCACCGTCTCTCCTCTCAGACGCTGAACACCTCCAGCTTCCACGGCTGCATCAGGAATCTGTACATCAACCACGAGCTGCAGGACTTCACCCGCAGCCGCATGAACCCTGGAGTGGAGCCGGGCTGCCAGCCGTGCCGGAAACTCTTCTGTCTGCACGGCGTCTGCCAGCCCCACGCAGAGCAGGTACCAGACACACACACACACACACACACACACGCACACACACGCACACACGCACGCACACACGCACGCACACACGCACGCACGCACGCACGCACGCACGCACGTTTTAGTGTTTCTCTCTGTGTGCAGTAGATGATGGATAAAGAAGATATAACCGGTATAGATATAATATTAAACATGTTTTTTATTTTCTCAGGGTCCCCAGTGTCACTGCCAGCCAGGCTGGACGGGACCACTCTGTGATCAGCCAATCACAGCGGACCTTACTGCAGCGGAGACTGTCACCATGGCAACCGGTGTCAACCCGTGTGAAGGCAGCAAGTGAGTGATGTTTCATTTCATGTTTTTATTTCAATAATAATAATAATAATAATAATAATACACTTTATTTATATACAGTAGCACCTTTCATGCTTGACGCAGCCCAAAGTGCTTTACAGAGTATGACAGAAGATGACAATAACAAATGAGGAACATAATTTAAATATGTTAAAACAATAAAACAGTGATACTACTAAAAAGTATAAGCCAAATTAAAAGATAGGTCTTTAATTTACTTTTAATTGAGGTTGCCGTTCTAAGATCAAATGGGAGGCTCTATGGAGTTACAGGGAGCGTTCATGTGTTTTATCCCTTTAAGGTGACAAATATATAAATACATGTTCTGTTGATTTGTCCTCCATGTCTTCTCATCTTTCTCGCTGCATTTGTTTCCTCAGGTGTGTCAAGGGTGTGTGTGTGGCGGTGGACGCTCAGACGTACCGCTGTGACTGTGAGGAGGGATTCACGGGAGAGAGCTGTGATATCGGTGAGGAGCAGCGGCTGATTCACAGACGTGTATTCAGACGCTCAACATGTCAGATCGCTGAGTCTTTCACAACCTGCGGAGCGCAAAAGAAAGTAGAAAAAACGTGGACAAAACTTCTGCGAAAACGAGCACCAGTTGTCTCCCACTAACGTCCACCTGTCTGAAAATGAGCTGATCAGATTTTGGCCACTTTATGATGTCATAATGATGTGTTGTCTTGTGTAACCATTAGCCAATCAGCAACCAAGGTAACCCCCCCCCCCCCCCTTATCACCTGAATCTCCTCCTAGAGCACCATTGAGTTCTTTGTAACCAAATATCTCTCAGAGGGGCGTGGGGAGGGGCTCCTTATTTTCATCTAAAGTAACAGACAGAGAATCAGCACTTTGGAAACAGGGCTGAAACAGAGGGGATTCTGGGTAATGCTGCAATGATCTGTTTGGTGTTTCAGCCAATCAGAGACAGGCTCTGTATATATCTGAGACCTATAATATATTGATGATAAACAGTATAATAGGAGACCTTTAAAGTTACAACCAGCCCTTTGAGTGCAACCATGATGCTGATGTGGCCCGCGATGAAATTGAGTTTGACTCCCCTGATCTCCCCTGATCATCTGCACATATGACAGTAATTCTTTTGATCTTAAATCTTTGGTAAGTAGCTTGAATGTCATTTGTTCCCCTCCTCCTCTCACAGAGACCCCGTGTCGTGGGGAGCCGGTTCGAGACGTCCACCGGCTGCAGCGAGGTCTCGTCCTCTGCCAGACCTCCAAGCCTTTCTCCTGGGTCGATTGTCGGGGTCGCTGCCAGGCCGGCTCCATGACCGCCGCCCACTCCTGCTGCGCCCCTCTGAGGCTCCGGCGCCGCAGGTTGACCTTCGAGTGCGACGACGGCACCTCGTTTACGCAGGACGTGGAGAAGCCTGTGGAGTGTGGCTGCAAGGAGTGTGTGTAGTGGATGTAACAACACACACACTCACTCACAAGCTGAAGAGGTACACACACTGTAGGGATTCGATCACTGATAAACGGACATGTTGGTGTTTGTTTCGTGTGTTTTTATCGCGCAGTTTTGTAACATAAGACAGTTCTTCTTCCCTCTTCTCGAATTCAACGAGGCCACCTCATCTTCCTCCAGGAGAACCTGCTCTAACTACCTAACTCCTGATCATCGTTACTTAATACTCGTGTGTGTGAAAGCTCAACTTCTATACATGTGTGTGTGAAAGCTCAACTTCTATACGTGTGTGTGTGAAAGCTCAACTTCTATACTTGTGTGTGAAAGCTCAACTTCAATATGTGTGTGTGAAAGCTCAACTTCTATACGTGTGTGTGTGAAAGCTCAACTTCTATACGTGTGTGTGTGAAAGCTCAACTTCTATACTTGTGTGTGTGTGAAAGCTCAACTTCTATACTTGTGTGTGAAAGCTCAACTTCTATACTTGTGTGTGAAAGCTCAACTTCTATACTTGTGTGTGTGAAAGCTCAACTTCTATACTTGTGTGTGAAAGCTCAACTTCTATACTTGTGTGTGTGAAAGCTCAACTTCTATACTTGTGTGTGAAAGCTCAACTTCTATACTTGTGTGTGAAAGCTCAACTTCTATACTTGTGTGTGTGTGAAAGCTCAACTTCTATACGTGTGTGTGTGAAAGC